TTCTTATAATCTTTTTTGGTAGTTGTCTGTTTACTCTCGGAATAAATGTGTTGTAATGATTTACTATTCTCTCGTTGTATTTTGTGCTCTTTTGAAGGATGCCTTACTTATTTAACTTCGCGAAGAAGAAGTTTATGTTTTCATAAAAAAATCCGATTCGCTAATCGTATGTTTTCTCGACGTTTCAATTCATTCCGAATCAAATGGGACCAATTTCGGAAAAAGTATGTATGCATGTGTTTGCGTCTGTGTATAAGAACAGATTTTTACCTTAAATCGACATAAAAGAATCGTCAACATTTTTGCCAAAGATTCTGACTTGATTTCAAACATTTATGATTAGTTTTTGATAAAGATTGCCGAACCGTTTATTCGTAATTAACTGTTGAAGCTTTTTTCGATGAATTTTCGATGAATTTGTCATGTTCATGGACATCACGATCTTAAAAAACATACTAAAATTTCATGGCCCTACGGAAAGTAGTTCAATTTTCACTTCACCAAAGTTTAAAAAAAGAATTATAGTCAAAATTTGTGTCAAATTTTTTGTGATGTGATGAGTCAAAATTTGAATTTTACAAATTCGAAAGGAATTTTTTAGTATCAGCTGAAAAATAAGACTATGAAACAACTTCTCTAGTTGTGTAAAAAATGCTACCATTAACTCAAATCATTAAATAATATCCGGGACTACATGATATACGCAATCGCGCAGCTGAAAATTTCATAGTAATTATTACACATTTCGCGAAGTTCATGCAACGGGTATTATGGCGAAATGCCACTTTCATCTAGTTTAAATTTAAGGTCGTCCTTAAATCTTTTTTCTGCAAATAATTTCCCTATATAGCGGATAATGAAATTATCGGAAAGAATGCAAGGAACCATTTAAAATACAGTAATGTATAAAAGTACAAAGCAATTGCATTGTAGAAGCAAACACAACAAATAACACATACCACACAATATCTGACTATGTTCAGTGAAACTCCCAGCTAATTTAACATTGCAGAAATATGTTTTTTGCTATTTTTCAAAAAATTGTCACCTGGTTCCTATAAGCGGGATGAAAGGAAATGACCAGGGGACAAAAAGGTCCATAGTGTTTTTGCTTGTGAGCACTGTTAAGATTATATACACTGTTATATCTACAAAAAATGTACCCATGATATTTATATTTTGCATTGCCTGAATAATGTAGCTATTATTTCATAAAATTGCTTCAAAATGAAAAATAAAACATTTTTCATTTTAAAGCGATTTTATGAAAATGAAAATTTAATAGCTGCATTATTCAAACAATGCAAAATATAAATATCATGGGTACATTTTTGTACATATAACAGTGTATATAATCTTAACAGTGCTCACAAGCAAAAAAACTAGCAATGAAATAAATCACTTTTGTAATGAACTTTCAAATATTGCCATTTATCTCCTGATAGCAACGTCGTAAGAATCAAGGTGATGGCTGGTTATGCATCTATTTCCCTATTTCTGAGATATCGGTAGTGGGCCTTTTTACCTATGGATCTTTCAGTCCCTCTATATATGAACAATAGTGAATATCAAAGTTTCTTTACTTCCATTCTAAATATTATATAACATTCGTAATGGCCCTGCAAGTGGGGCGCTCTATCGACGCAAGGCAAGGCAACGCGATTGCCCGAGTGGAGTCTTTCGACGTAATAATGTCTCGATTTTGAAACAACGAACCGGGGAACGGACTCGATTAGAGAAGGAGGAAAAAACGCGTTGCATAGTGAAAGGTTATTTCCCATAGCGCGCACAATTATTTGACCTTATACACTTTTATCGGGCATTGTCTACGGATCTGGACTCAGGGCTCGAAGCTCGGGGCTCGCCGACACCAAGAGAATAGATACCACTGACCGTTTTGCGGCTTGCGGGAGCAGAATGACTTATCTATTAGAAGCTGCGGTAGTTGTTTTAAAAATTATGTGCCCTAATTGCATATTAGATTACATTAATGCATACCAGATATTGCAGTAAATATGTTTATGAATTATGAATGACATATTTATGCTACATTACTTTATTATCTGATTGAGCACATAGTTAAATCGCTATAAGAGTAATTTATTCTTATTATTTGTTAGAAAATCTATATTTTATTTACGACAAAAGTTTAAAAACAATGCGAGTATTTTTTTTTAGCTTTAATGTGTCAGATTTTATTTTTAACTTTCTGTAAGGTAAGTTATAGTAATCGCAAAAAAATTGAAAATGAAATTTTTGTATATACGTTTTGAAGATTTTTGAATATTTTGGCATACCTTAGTAAAAATTGACGTATGCGTGTGTATGTTTGGATACAATTCTTCGTCCACGATTTCGGGCGCACGAATCAACCGATTTGAATGATTCAAAAAAACATTCGATTTCTATTGATGAGAAAACGTGCTGATTCGTTTTTGGTGGCAAAATGTGGCAAAAACGGTGTTTCAGTTTTTGAAAGAACGGAGTACCAGATTTGAATGATCCACAAAACATTTTATTTGTATTGACGAAATGAAGAATTTCTGGTAAGGCAGGTCTAGTGGTTTCGGAGATACATAGGAAAAAAATTTCTAAAAATGAGTACTAATTTAGTCACAATTTTGTTGGGTTCCGCACCAAGATTGTTAATTTTTAAAGTTTACTTATACGGTTCAAGCAAATTTCAAAAATTTCAAAAAAAATATATATATATTTTTTAAAAATATACAAAGTTTTATACTTCAAATGTGAACCTTAAATTTACTTATCAGTTTGAAAATGTATATATTTCAAATTCGTTATTCTAATCGTAAGAAATATATCCTCAGATGGATTTATTCGGCACCTCTTGTAATGTATTTCTCAAGTGTTTTGAGCGATAAGATTATATAAATTGATTATAATTATCTATTTGAACATGTTTAAAACAATTGTTATTTATCATTGATCAATATTTATGGATTACTGATTTTTGAATATTTTTTTATTTTTAATTTAATTTTGGTGCGGGAAGTTTCAACAATTTGCCTTAAGGCATGATGCCATAAACCAGTTTTATGAATTGAATTCATTACGCACTAACAATAAGTTGGACAAATTATTATTATATCTATCAAAAATTGTTTTTACTTTGCATAAAAATATTAAATCGTAAATAGTAGTCTGCCCAAAAATGGAATCCATGGAATGAGAGCACCACAAATATATGATTCTCTTTCCTTTCCTTGTTTATGATTCTCATTATAATTTTATTTCAACTATTCACTTTTTTATATTGTATTTTATGCTTTTTTCTCCCAAGCTTTTGCTTTCATGTTTCCTGGTTTTGTGCTTTGGCTTCAGTTCTCTTCATGAGCACTCTTCTTCTTTCCTGTCCTTTTAGTCCTTCTTTCCTCGACGTCGTGTAAAAGAAAGTCTTTTTTCAGAATGGGTCTGATCTAGTTTCCATTTCTTTTAATAATCGTGCTCAATAAAGTTTTCTCTTCGCCGATCTGGTCTGTCTACTTTATCTTCTCAATTCGTCGCCAGCACCACATTTCAAAACTATCCAGATGGTTTTTGTCGGTCTTTCTTAGACTCCATGTCTCTGATCTGTACAAAGATATGCTTCAGACGTAATACTTTATTAGTCTCTACCACAAGTAGAAGCTCAGTTTGCTTGCGCCCTTGTCCTGATCTCTCATGTGCAGTTATGTCTCTGGTCAGGATGCTTTCCAAGTATTTAAACGATTTACGTCTTCCAATTCTTAATTTTCTACTTTCGATATTTTCATCACTACAAGTCACACAGAATTTACTTATCAAAATAGATAAATCAATTTGGACCTACGGCGTACAGCTATGGGGATCACTTTCTAAATCAAACGGTTTCATAATTCAAAGATGCAAAAATAACACGTTAAAATAAATTTTCAATCGATATTAAGTTCTACATTGATTGATACACAGAGAAACCAACATCACCACAGTGAATGATGAAATGCGAAAACATTCAAACGTATAAAGCGGCTGCGAGGATCACCTAAGCTTACTTGCCGCAGATCTCCGCCACAACTTCACCAGGATCCGATTGAAAAGGAAGGAATTTATTCCTTATTGATCTTGAAAATTTACAGATAAGATTTATTTTTATGCTAATAGTTGTACTTTTTTATTTCGGGCGATTATAAATATTATTGGCGAATAAAAAAATCCGAATCGTTCATTTGCTGATGCGTGACTTTATCATTTACATCGAATGTTGTTTAGAATAAATCGACACATGTCTTTATTATATAATTTTATTCATTGTAAATTAATAGTCATCTAATCATTAATTAACTCGGACGAGCAAGTGTCAATTGAAAATACATACTTTCACTAAAATGCCGTCTGCAAATGTTGCCATCAAAATAAAATTGATACCTCAAAACTTGGTTTTATACCTCGAACTATTTTGTTTTATGGTTTTAGTAATTCTTTTCACTGGGTGAGGCAATTATAAGTTATTAATATTTAAAACATGAAGCGATTTACTGAAAATCTAATTGCCAAGCTTCTTATCCTATCTTATTCTTAATTAATCTTATGTTATTATTAATTAATAGGAAAGACGTCTTACTTGTTTTCTTCAGTTTTCTAAATATTCAAAAGAAGTTATAACTTGAATTCGAATACTAGTTTTTAATTGATGAGGAGGATATTCACATACATTTAATAACAATTATTACACGAAATTTAATATGATTACAAAATGATAAAATAAAATTAATTTAATAATATATTTATACATCAACAAACTGATCTCTTTATTGATGATGATGATTCAACATATAAAAGCGTAATTTTAAATAGATTTTATAATTACTATTTGTAAGATAATTTTCACTAGATTTGTTTGCTTTCTATTGTCAGAGCAAATGCATGCATCCACAGTTTTTTAGGGGAGCTAACTTTTTAGTGTTAAGGGTCGAATTGTGCCTAAGGTCGATTGGAGTTCAACGGGCTGTATTATAGAAAAAATGGCAGACCATGGTAAATAATACAGTAATTATGTAATTTTCTAATTGCACATAAACATTTATTCCAAAAACATTTTATTTGTATTGACTAAATGCAGCCAGTTTCAATAGAAAAGTACAAAATACTATTTGGTTGTCAAAAATGATCTTTAGACATATGCACATCAATTTATCAGATATTTTATAGAGATGTTAGTTACAGGTACAAATTTTGTTTATTGTTTATTTCTAAAACAGCTATGCAGCGCTGTTGCTTTAGAAAAAAGTTAAAAAAACTTCTCAGAAATCTAGATTTTGTTTTCGACAAATTTTTAAGCTTTCTTAAAAAAATAGTTTTTTGAACGGGATGTTCCAGCAATTTATTTTAAGGGCCGATACTATGCACCACCAGTTTATTCACATCATCACAAACATCAACACTCCATTTATCAAAGAACAAACTAAATATTCAAAATTTCATGAAAGGAAAAGTGAAATAGGATATAATAGCACTTACAGCTCAGATTTAAAAGAAATTAGGTATAATATATCGTTTCAAAGAATACATATATATCATTTACCAAGTAAAATATATATCATTACATGGTGCATGCAAACTTAAATTATATATACAAAGTAACTTCTGCATGTCATGCAATTTAAGTATCGACAATTTAATTCACGAACAAAATACAGAGAATAATATAACGTTCAAATAAATACTCAAAATGAATTTTTATAACGCAATTTTTTCTATGCGCGTATTTAATCATCAAATTATGCAAAAGGTTATTCAAACAATGCAAGGAATTTTCTCACAGAATTTATATTAAAATTATTAATTGGCATATGAACAAATAATTGCATAACAATCTGATTCACATAAGCTTCCATATTTTTTATTTAATTATGCAATATGAAATTTACATTAAACGTACATTTGAAAAAATGATTTTAATATATTGCAAAAAATCGGCATCAAAATAATGGAATAACATAAATTGGTTATTGTTAGAAAAACTATATAATTAGCGTTAGATAATTATAGAAATATATTTAAAGATATTTAAGCATAGTTAATTATTAACTTCCCGAAGACGTTTATGTTTTCATCAAAAAATCCGATTCGCTAATTTTATGATTCTCATTCTGAATCTTATGAGACCAAATATGGAAAAAGTATGTGTGTGTGTATGGGTATGTGTATGTGTGTGTGTGTGTGTGTGTGTGTGTGTGAACAGAGTTTTTGCCGTAGATTGGCGATTTCTCAAAAACGGCTGGACCGACTTCAAAAGTTTAAAATCTCAATGAGAACTATTATTTATCAGTTTTTTGGGACGATCTGCCAAGACGTTTCTTTATAATTTGGAAAAAGATAGCTGATTAGTTTTAGGTAAAAATCTGCCGTTTTCTTGTAATTAACTGTTAAAAAAAATTTGTGAAAAATTGCTTTCAGAAAATACTCCGAGTTAACGTCCACTCGGAATACTTTTAATTACTCATAAAAATAATTTATTTATCATGGATTTAGTCGATATTTTATACATATCGAGAATTAATGTAACTTGCCCCAAGGCAATATATCAATACCAACTAGTTTTGTATTGAATTTATTACCAAAAGAATACTCAAACCGCGAATTTTTAAATAATTAAATGTAAACGTTATAAAAACTCTCAGAAGCATTATCTTTAATTTTAATTCACTATTTTATTAAATTATTTATTGTCAACTAATGTATTTTTAATTATTTTCAGCACAATGTCAGCAAAGGAGGATAGGATCCAGTAATAATAATGTTATAATATCCACATCTGGCACATCAAATACGCGACAAAATACAGGTAACAATATACTATTATTATCGTTATATAATACTATACATATTATATAAATATATATATCTATGTATATTATGGTGGTCCTTAAAATGGTCATTTTCAAATTTCCTTGCTCCCAGGGGCTCAAATGGCTCCAAATAGATAAAAAACAATTCTCTGAAAGTTTTAGCTCTTAATATTAACGTTTAGATAGAGCGCAATTCAATCAAAGTTTTGTATAAAAATAGCATGGAAAATTTTTCAAAAATTTTAAAAATGTTTTTTAGATGTAATTTAGCGAACAAATGAATAAATAAAACTCATTCATTTGCCGCTAAGTTATACCTAAAACATTTTTTAAAAATTTTCAAAAAAATTTCCATGCTGTTTCCATACGAAATTTGATTGAATTGCGCTCTATCTAAACATTAATATTAGGAGCTAACACTTTCAGAGAATCGTTTTTTATCAATTTGAAACCATTTGAGCCCCTGGGAGTAAGAAAATTCTAAAATGACCATTTTAAGGACCACACTAATATATATATATATATATGATATTCAGTTTTCAGGGCAATACATCAATTAAAAAGTTTGTATGACTTTAAAACATTTTTATTTTTTCCATACGTTTCGACACATTGTTTTGTATCATCTTCAGTGGACTATGTAATTGAATTAATCCTAATTATTTCATATTATAAATGTTCACAATTTCTGTGCTCCGATGCACGGGTGACGACTGACTGGAGTCGTCACCCGTGCATCGGAGCACAGAAATGTACGGCGTGATGTACTTTACAAATTCATAAAAATCTCATTCAAAAATTTATATATTGTTCAATTTAAAATGACAAGGATTGGTTTTTTGTTGCATTGTGAACATTTATAATATGAAATAATTAGGATTGTGCATTGTGAACATTTATAATATGAAATAATTAGCATTAATTCAATTACATAGTCCACTGAAGATGACACAAAACAATGTGTCGAAACGTATGGAAAAAATAAAAATGTTTTAAAGTCATACAAATTTTTTAATTGATGTATTGCCCTGAAAACTGAATATCACATATTTCAACATCAAAATTATAAAAAAATTAATATATATATATATATATATATATATATATATATATATATATATATATATAAGTATATAATTTATTTATTATATATTTTTAACTTCCCGATAGAGAAGTTTATGTTTTCATCAAAAAATCCGATTCGCTAATTTTATGTTTTCTCGACGTTTCAAGCCATTATGCATCGAATGAGCCCAAATTTGGAAAAAGTATGTGTGTGTGTGTGTGCGTGTATGTGAACAGACTTTTTGTCGTAAATCGACGTTTTCTCAAAAACGGTTCCACCGATTTCAAAAATTTAGAAGCCATTCGATGTATCTCGATGAGGACTAGCGATTCTGAGTTTTGTGCGACGATTGTCCAAGCCATATTTTTATAAATTCTAAATAAAATTATTTTAAATTCTTTATAAAAATTTTTCGTTCACGTTTTAGCTCGCAATTTTGAATCGATTCTGAAAATTCAAAAACTTTTCGAAAGATATTGGTTGGGAATCGTGCTGATTAGTTTTCGGTAAAGATGGGCCGGGCCGTTTTCTTGTAATAAAGTTTTTAAAAAAAAATTCGACGATTTTCATGATTTTTTTTCACGGTAGATTCATAGTCTTCTAGATCATACTAAAATATTACCACCCTACGATAACTCGTTTAGCTTTAAAAATTCGTCAAAGTTTGCAAAAATTAGTGTCGTTTTTTTGGCATTTGTCAAAATTAGACCTTTCATCGACGCTTGCTCAAAAACGCCTGAACCGATTTCAGAAATTTAAAAGCCATTCGATGTATCTCAATGAGCACTATAGTTTGTCAGTTTTGTGAGATGATCTGCCGAGCCGTTTCTTTGTAATTTGAAAAAGAGTGTTAAACTTTTCGTCCACATTTAAGCTCATTCTACCGAATCGATTTAAAAAAATCAAAAACTGTTCGAAAGATATTAGTTGGGAATAATACTAATTAGTTTTAGGTGAAAATCTACCGAGCCGTTTTCTTGTAAATAACTGTTGAAATAAAAATTAAGCAGATTGTTATGAAACTTTTTTGGCGATGTATATTATGGTCTTATAGAACTTACTGGAATATTACGGCCTTACGACAAGTAGTTTTGAGAAAATGAGTAGTTTTGTTGACGTTTGTTAAAATTAGGATTAAACGATTTACTTGGTATAATAATAGATTACTTGGTCTTAATGAACATACCAGACCATTAACGTTCTACGAAAACTGGTTCAATTTTAAAAATTATTGATTTTTGAAAATTTGCTTTTAGAAAATATTCCGAGTTAACGTGTTCGTTCGTTTTCAATTATGTGTAATAAATCCTCTCGGAATACTTATAATCACTCATAAATTAATTTGTTCATTAAGTCGATTATTTACACATATCGCGAAGTTCATGTAACTTGCCTCAAGGCTAAATACCAATACCAACTAGTTATTATAATTTTTACATTGATTATTAGTATAACTTTTAAATAACTTTTTTTTGTTTATCAAAATTTCATTGTCATTTTTTTAAATAATATTGAGATCCTTCAATCAAATAGATTTCTTCATATATTCAGTTACACTACGTGTAGTAAAATAATCTTTGATACCACGTATAAATAATAACTAGTTGTAAGTGGCATTTTGCCTCGATGCAACAATAGATGTAATTGACTTAATCAACCAAAGTTGAGATTTAAATATTTAGGTAATTTCTCAACTGTTTATTTCGAAAATAAAGCTTTTGCTTCCACTAAAGTTTAAACATTGCGATTTCTAATCGATATATCACAAACATATTTATAATATCAATAATTATATCAATTTTAGTGCACAAACTATTATTACTAATTTTATTTAATTTATATCGAGTTTATTCTTATTGGAATAAATAAATTAAAATAAAAATATGAAAATTCAAATTTTGTCTTATAACATCACGAAAGAAATTTTTGACACAAAATCGATTCCGAATTTTTGGCTCAAACGTGGATGATTTTTTCCCCTGCTAATTACAAAAAAATGGCTCAGGCGATCGTATCATAAGATAACCCATGCAGGTATTTATCAAGTTTTATCGAATAACTTTTAGATTTTTGAGCAGTGTATGAGAAAAACGTCTATGAAAAGTCTAATTTTAACAAACGTCAAAAAAGCTGATTTTTTCAATTCTTTATGAATTTTTCAAAATAAAAGACTTGTTATAGGGCAGTAATATTTTACTATGCTCTATAAGATCATGATATCTAAAGCTAAAAAGATCATGCTAAAAAAAGTTCCATAAAAATCGTCGGTATAAATTTTTTCAGGAGTTTTACAAAAAAACGGATCTTTACCAAATCCAAACATACCAAAAACTAATCAGTATCATTTACATCCAATATCCTTTAAACAAGCTTAGAATTCTTTGAATCTATTCAGGATTACAGATTAAAACCTGAACAAATAATTTCGCACTTTTCTGCTTTTCACAAAAAAGCAGCTTGGCTGATCGTCATGCAAAACTGGCAAACGCTAGTCCTCCATCGTGTGACATCGAATGGCTTTTAAATTTTTGAAATTGGTCTAGCTGTTTTTGAGAAAACATCAATGAAAAATCAAATATCGACTAACATACACAAACACATACATACTATTTTCATATTTGGTCTCAATCGATTCAGAATGACTTGGAACGTCAAGAAAACATAAAATTAGCAAATCTGATTTTTTGACAAAGCTATATATAAAAACTTCTCCTTCACGAAGTTAAGGTTTGCAAATGAGGTGTTAGAAATACATGATTTTGTTATTGTGACTACTGACATTTTTTTAATTCTATATTATAAATTTTGCTAATAATCGTCATAAAACCGGTAAAATGACACGGATATTGATCCGCTTATCAAAATATGTCTTTTTTATTCATTTCTTATTATATCTAGCTCCATAAAATATTTTATTAATTATTCCAAAAGCACAAAAAAACTAGTTGGTTTGGTATTTAGCCTTGAGGCAAGTTACATGAACTTCCCGATATGTAAATAATCGACTTAATAAAAAAAGTGCAAATAATATACTTCATCAATCCTACTTTAAAAAAAACGATAATAATTTTAGCAAAGTTTGACGAATTTTTAAAATTAAACTACTTGTCGTAAGGCCGTAATATTACAGTAAGTTCTATAAGACCATGATATATATCGCCAAAAAAAGTTTCATGAAAATCGGCTTAAATTTTTTTTTCAACAGTTAATTACAGGGAAACGGCTCGGTAGATTTTCACCTAAAATTAATCAGTACCATTCCCAACTAATATCTTTCGAACAGTTTTTGATTTTTTAAAATCGGTTCGGTAGGATGAGCTTAAATGTGGACGAAAAGTTTAACACTTTTTTTCAACAGTTAATTACAAGAAAACGGTTCGGTAGATTTTCACCTAAAACTAATCAGTACCATTTCCAACTAATATCTTTCGAACAGTTTTTGATTTTTCAAAATCGGTTCGGTAGGATGAGCTTGAATGTGGACGAAAAGTTTAACACTTTTTTCAACAGTTAATTACAAGAAAATGGCTCGGTAGATTTTCACCTAAAACTAATCAGTACCATTTCCAACTAATATCTTTCGAACAGTTTTTGATTTTTCAAAATCGGTTCGGTAGAATGAGCTTGAATGTGGACGAAAAGTTTAACACTTTTTTTCAACAGTTAATTACAAGAAAACGGCTCGGTAGATTTTCACCTAAAATTAATCAGTACCATTCCCAACTAATATCTTTCGAACAGTTTTTGATTTCTTAAAATTGGTTCGGTAGGATGAGCTTAAATGTGGACGAAAAGTTTAACACTTTTTTTCAAATTGCAAAGAAACGGCTTGGCAGATCTTCGCACAAGACTGACAAACGATAATCCTCACCGAAATACATCAAATGGCTTTTAAATTTCTAAAATCGGTTCAGGCGTTTTTGAGAAAACGTCGATCAAAAGTCTAATTGTGACAAATGCCAAAAAAACAATACTAATTTTTGCAAACTTTGAAGATTTTTTAAAATTAAACGACTTGTCGTAGGACCGTAATATTTTAGTATGTTCTAGAAGACTATGGTATCTACCGTCAAAAAAATGATCATAAAAATCGTCGAAATTTTTTTTTTTTAAACTTTATTACAAGAAAACGGCTCGGCCGATCTCTACTAAAAACTAATCAGCACAATTCCCGACCAATATCTTTCGAACGGTTTTTGAATTTTCAAAATCGATTCAGAATTGCGTGCTAAAACGTAGACGAAAATTTTTTCACATTTCTGCGATTTATAAAGAAACGGCTTGGCCGATCGTCGCCCAAAACTGACAAACAATAGTTCTCGGCGAGATACATAGAATGGTTTTTAAATTTTTGAAATCGGCCCAGCCGTTTTCAAGAAAACGTCGATTTACGGCAAAAAAATCTGTTCACATCCACACACACACACACGCACACACACACACATACTTTTTCCAAATTTGGTCTCATTCGATTCAGAATGGCTTGAAACGTCGAGAAAACATAAAATTAGCGAATCGGATTTTTTGATGAAAACGTAAACTTCTCCTTCGAGAAGTTAATAAAAAAACCTACGTGATATATCTTGTTATGTAATGGATATATAAAAACGCAAAAAAATCAATTAAAAGTTGAAATCGATTTTTACTGGCTAGTACTTTTTTAATTCCTCTGTTTTTATTTCCTCGGTGATTTGGATCAAACTTTCTTGCTAGACTATAATGATGTCCAGTCAGCCAGTTTTATACTCATGACTGAACCTGTTTGAGTGTTTGCCTCTTTTCAGACGGAATTAATTTTAAGTAACAATATTTTCTGGTATTTCAGGGGCAGATTTTGAGTGCCCGGAGGAGTTTGGCTATTATCCTCATAAGACTGATTGCACCAAGTATTACGTATGTGTATTTGGCGGCGCTCTGCTCGAGTCTTGCACAGGTGGACTGCAATACAGGTGATTATTAGAGGCAATTATTACTATATTTAGAAAATATAATGGTGCAAATGAAAGTGATTTATGCTATGATATTACCTTATAAATTATTCATAGCACGAGCAAGAAAATCCGATCAACGATGCAAGGAAGATCAATGAAATTTTATTGCTTAAATCGAAACTAAAATTTGATAAGACTATAAACATTCAATAGCCTTTTTGTCTAAAGGGTAGAGCGGGACTTGAAGGTTTGCGGGTGAAACCGATATATTAAAAACAAGTAAATTTAGGAATTGTTTAACAACAATATTTAAATGTAGAGTGCAAAAGATGTAAAACCAGCCGTCGCCTTGTTTCTTTCGACGACGCTATCAGGACATAAACGGCAATATTTGAAAATTCATGACAAAAGTATTTTCTTTCGTTATTAGTTTTTTTGGTTGTGTTCTTTAGTTTACGAGACTTTTATATAATTTATAAGTACGTCACTTAATTGTTTTACAAGATGTAATGCTGTTTCAAAGTAATTTTCAACCGTTTGTTTTATATAACAAACGGTAGGGGTAAAAAAGGTGAATTGCACCGGTGTAAACAATAAATATTTCTATATATTTTCTATATATTTCTATAATCAGGAAGGGACTGGGAATTTCACTAAACTCAGTTCCATAGTTGTTCGTTGAATACGTGTTATGTGTTGTGATGTAGTTCATTTGGTTTGGTCAGTATGATTACTTTGAGTCTAATTGGAACTCTGTGTCCGGCCCTACCATATTTCATAAACAATTTACTATATTACAATAATATCCATTGGTAGTTTTCTTTTGAGCCTGCTAAATTGTAATGTCATAACTATTTTATGCGCATGACTAATCAGCTTTTGAAAACGTGCTGTTTGTTTTTCCAAGTGATAAAAACATTCTTAAAATGCTGGCGGCAGTTTTGGCCACCAGAAATGCTTAACACCGGCGCCGTGGCTTAGTTGGTTAAAGCGCCTGTCTAGTATACAGGAAATCGCGGTACAAATGTCGCCGGAGCTTTTCATATTTTTGAAGTAAAACTTCTTTAGGCGTGACTAGGGTGTGAAACTGTGAGAATGCAACGGAAATTGCGTTACGGCCAAACTGTACGTCATCCGCTCTCGATGAAATAGCCGTCGTGTCGTGTGAATAGAAATCTGTTGTTGTATGCGTGCCGACATCAACGTTGTATGCGTCATTTTATGCTTATTTATCTATGGTACCGATATTCGATATCAACAAGAAAATTGGCATAGATAAATAAACATTTTAAATTTACATCGTAGAACAAATCTTGATTTAATAAACTCTTGAATCAGAAGAATATTTCACCCTGTTTCCCGTAAATAATTATAATGAAAATAATAAAATAAATAAAACATTTGTGCCGTGTACTAAACGTAGGTTTATTGAAATAATTTTTATATTATTCATAGCTTCTATAAATCTTTGGAGCTATTAAAATGGAAAATATTTTAGGCTAGATAGATTTTATAGCTGCTCAAAGAATGAAAATATATTGCCAGCAAAAAAGTAAAAAAAATACAACCAGTCAATGAACATATGTTAATTTTAATTACATGAAGTTCTTCAAACACAATTATTACATGATGAGTGAAATTGTGAAAACAATAATTCTTTAGGCGTTGTTCTACATAATACACTGTGTGAACGAATATTATAGAATTTATTAATCAGCAATTACTTCATTTCGCTAAGGAAGATCCAAGTCCTAAATGGTAATTGCTATGACAAACCGATCATTTCATATTTGAAGAATGACTTTAATTACATTATTGTTTTCAAATATTACAAATTTTTAATGCTATTATAAATATATAAATTATAATTTATTATTATATAAATATATATAATAATTAACACTAACAAAACAAAAAAAAACGCTAGTGATCTGTATAATATAATAATTGGCTTCATCAGGCTTTATTACCACCTTGTGCATTAGCAATTTATTATCTCGTAATAGTTTTATTTTGCGTTTTTAATCCAAGTATATTTATAGTCTATATGATTATATGATTCCCCTAGGAGCAGCCCAGATATTGTATAGAAATGTATTTCTGGACATTACACTTGTAGACGTTAAGTGAATAGATTCACTTTCATAAATTTTTATTTGTGAATTAGTAGTCCAGGTACAGCAAATATTGCTATTGTGGCAGTTTGTAATATACAAAAACGTCTGTTGAAATATTATACAGAAATAGGCTCAAAATCCTACCATGTAAAATTCAAGCTTCGAAAAGATGCAGAAGTTTTTGAGTTGACGCGGAATTGAATTGAATTTCTTATCAGCAAGATAGGATTCTATAATGTTGCCTTGCTCTCGTGGAAGTAAAGATCCAATCGAAATAACCTTTATGCCACACCTTAATAAAAACCTGGCTTACATCGCAGATAAAAATTTGCTTGGTTTCAAAGTGATTCAAAGAAGATGGAATTATTAGTGAAAGAAACGATTTTAATTATTTAATATATATTCTATTTTTTCGTATTTTTACAAGAATTTTGAAACTAAGAAACTTCCCTGATTTAACAACGAGAAAGTTATATAGAACTAACAAAAATTATATTTTCAAATTTTTCAATTTTTCAGTTTTCAAAAGAAACTATTTTGACTGTTCAATATATATTCCAATATTTTCGTATTTTCACAAAGATTTTGAAACTAAAAATCTTCCTTGATTTAACAACGAAAATTTAGATATAACTAAAAAAATTATATTCTCAAAATTTTTATAGAGTACGGCGCAAAGGTCCAATTTGACTTTGAGCAACTAATTATATCACAACAAATAACACATATCAAACAATCAAATATCTGACTATGCTTAGTAAAACTCCCGGCAATTATCATTGTAGAAATGTTTTTTTTTCAAGAATCTTACACCTTGTCTATTTTAAACCATAACAAATACAATAATATTTAATGAGTAGTTTCGATAATTTTCATAAAGTTTTGTAAATGGTTTAAGACAATGCAGCTATTTGATAATTTATACTACTACCAAGGTTCGTTTTAAAAGATCTATTTATCGATACATTTCGTAAATCACATCTTTTAAAAATAACGGACATGTTATTGGAACACCGGTAATAAATATTTAATACTCGATAAAATGTCAAACAAAATCTTGACAACCCTTGTATATGTGAATGTTATTTATATGTGGCATAATACATGGGAAACGAGCTTAAGTTACTAAATCATTATAAATATGCAAAAAAATATTATTTTGAAATATTTTTGTAAATATTTCAGTCACGAGTTGCAAACATGCGATTGGCCTAGGAATGTGGGTTGCGAAAGTGCGAATGCTGAGGTCATAGATACCACAACGCAGAGGTAATATTCATAATAATATTTTTGGCAATGATTTTATTGGTAATCTTATAAAAATCATAAAAAATTATTTCATGCATTGGATCAAGTTTCTTATATATTTCTTCATAATAGTAATAAAGCATTGTGTGTTTGCTTTGCATAATGCTAACTTTATTTTCCCATCGCTCCATTCCTTATCATTTGTTTTAGAAAATTGTACTATTCTATGTTTTTTACTAATTTTTTAAAGTTTAAATATTAATTAAAAATGAACAAAAGTTGTTTCAAAGGTGAAAGAGAAATTTGTGACCATATTTTTTCATATGTTACAATTCGTATCGATGTCAAATTACAAATTTTTTGAATAAGGCAATGTGAATAATACACTTTCTAACATATAATATCTCAATTTGCCAGACAAACACTAGATTCTCCAAAGTCAGAGCAACGTTTTAGACAGCACAAAATATCAATAGTTTATTTTATAGAAAATAATAAATGGAAAAGTTACATTTTCTATATATTTTTTATGATTTATTAGGCTTCATAAGAAAATTATGTCCTATTGAAATGGGCAAAATAAAACATCAACTTTTACCTATTTTGCAATATCATACTAATAATTTAAATTAGTGACAGATTAAAACTTAAAATCTTATATAAATTATTAAAAAGCATGGGATACTGGGTACGGTTGTGCCAGGTAACGGTAATGACAGTCGTCATAACAGATAAACTATATTGATTTTAAGCTAGGGTCTAAAAGGAAAAAGAGTATGTTTGTTCGAACAAGTTTATATTATTGTATTGAGTCAGCGCCCTCCATTAACATGATCTGTTAATCGAATTGCCTTCAAAGAGCCAAAAGAAAATTTGTTTGTTCGATTTCTTTTGTCAATAACTGTATACAAATAGATCACTTGCTTTTTGGCTATAAGTCGAAAATTAGTAGTTAATTACCAACAATTCGTTTTTTTATGAGATATGTGTTGTGACATGTATTTCTTGTGCCTTTGTGTGAAATTTAAACAAATAAGGAAAAATATAGCTTAACTAAGACAAAATGCAAAAAGAAAGGGAAAGAAAAATTCAATTTAACGATTCATTGCTCAAAAAAAGTTTTGTTATTTATTGTTATATTATATTATTAAGCATTGTTGAGACGATTATGTTGTTTTGTGTTACATATTTTTAAAAATGATAGTTGTTATAAACCATTTTGGTGTTTAGAGCTATCGATTTTTAAACTATTTTTATCCTGTCACAATCGTTCCTTGGATGTGTACGGTGTGACACTTGCCCTTTCGTGTATAATTTGATTTTATGACTAATCCATCGTATTTAAAAACAGTATTTCAGTATTTCTACGTAGTCTAATGATCAAATTATCATTTAATTTACTTTACTCCCAGCTGACTTGAAATTAACAGAATATTATTGCTGATAAAAAAGAGGCACCACTGTACCCAGGGTCTCATATACATGGCTTCAAATACTAATTTAATTTTTTGATACCGTATTACCATTATTATTGTTAAATTTTTTATTATTACTAGGCAATCCAGTCAACAACAAAACAATAACATACAACAATTGTCTCGGGTAAGATTTGGAACTCAGCAAAATTATAATAACAATCAGCAATCTCAAATAATAGTAAACAACAATCAACAAAATCAACAATTTATTGCTGACCAACAAGATGTGAGCAGACCAAATCCTCTGTTAGTCAATAATGGCGATTGTAAGTATTGAATTTAAAAACATCATGTTAAACCTTTTCGCTACTAAAGCCGTCAATGAAAGACATCCACTCGACTAGCTTTGTATGTCGTCCATAAACGAGATGTTCTGTGTCGTTCTTTGCTTAAAGATTTACGACTTTTAGTTAAAATATTGTAATTCTAATTTTTAACTTCCCGAAGGAGAAGTTTATGTTTATTGTAATTTTTAATTTATTAGAAGAGTAATTTTCAATGGCTGACTTTATTATAAATATTTATATATGCTCTTACATTTTTACAAGAAAGTATCATTGAATTTTGTTTTCTGTATAATAACCAACAAAAAACTGGTTGCATATAGAATAAAAAAATAAAATATAAATTAATTAATACCTTTCAAGACAAAAATATAAATCCTTCCACATTTTCCTCAGATGTATCAAATAGTGGTGTAAACCTAAGACTGTCACCAAAACCAGTAGTAACATCACGAGGTGAACCCAGAAGGTTGGCAATCCAGGAGAGCTTAGCAAAGGTAAAATAAATCGAATATTACAAATATTTTGCAAATGCTGCAAATAATAAATCTAATAACATGACATCTAGTGCATCATATATAAGTAATCAACATATAATCATGTCATAAAACATAAAATGATTTATACTGATATTACCTAGAACCATATCAATAATAGTAATATATGTTACATATATAATTAGAATTGAAGTATAAATTATTTGATTTTATTAATATTGTTGAATACATTTGACGCTTAACGTGCGCTGCAAAAACTAATTCATTTAGAAAGCTCTCTGATGTAATGAAGTTAAGAAATTAATAAGCAATTTCAATAATTGAATGTAAATAATTTTAATTAATATTTTTTTTAAAATAATATTTGTTAAATACAATATTGAAGATTATTAAGTTTTTGCTACTTATGATCATAAATAATGTAATTTTATTGTACTCTGAGCTCGAAAATCCAATTCAGAAGTATTATATTATAATTATAATATTTATTATGTTGCAGAATAACTGGCATCATTATTTTTATATATCAGTTCTTTCACAGCATTATAAATATAAACAAACTAGATTAATACCTTTTTTGTTTTGTTATATTTGATATTTTAATATTTATGAATATTAGGTGTTGTTTCGATCTTATAATTAAATCCTAATGGTTTTCTTGAAAATATGTATGTACGGGGTGTCCCAGAACTCAATGACAAATCGAAATGGGGTAATAGAAAATAGATAGTGACATCATGAATAATAATAAAAAAATATCCCTATTAAATAGGAAATGTTTATATTAAATATCTATTCACATCTCCAGATATAAAGATGTTTACGTAAGTAGATTAATATTTTATATAGGTGAATTACGGACAAAGTGGCATGGTCTTTTTTTTTAAATGATATTTATTTATTTAATGGTATTATAATCAGTTTCAATTGTTTTTACACATCTTTGGTTCGTAGACTACCAGTAACTATCAGACTACAAGTTTTACCAAAACCCATTTTGTCTATACTATACGGTAAGAAGCCTTGCAATAAATCTTTTTACTGGTGGATACTTTGATCTGTTTTTAGAAGTAGGTAGAGTAAAAGTTAAAACACGATTACCTTTCAATTATGGTTTCAATTTTCTTTTTTCTTGGTCTCTAATAAACTACACTATAAAGCTAGTGAATTAGTACTATATTATTGTATAGGTATACCATTTGTCCGTTGTATAAGTATGTCATTTTATCTGAAAATGAAAAAAAATAAAATAATCAAAATACCATCAAGCACCTGATAATTGCAATGCAATGATCGAAAGTACTAGCATAAGTTCATTGATTTTAATAGAAATAATTACAAATAACAATAAAGAAAGCCTCAAAAAAAGTTGAGGGAAAGCACCTTCAAAATGAACTTGTGAAGTTTTGAACTAAATACTGCCACATGACTGTGACTATCATAGATAAATAAACATAAATTAATGGTGACAACGACGCTCAATATCTGACAGGAATGTCATTATTGCTTTCGTCACTTTATACAGTTGCGGAATTTTTTTTAACACTAGCCAATTTTGAAATAACGCTCTTTTACTGCATTTGCACATCCCAGGGCAAGCATTTTTATGTTACCTGCCACAGTTCGCAAAGTATTAGCAAAAAACTGTTTAAAATTTCTACGTTCAAAATGTTTAAACGCCTATAAATATGAAAATTTTCGGGCTATGATTCTATGAATCAATAATTCGAGTTAGGGCCTATGATGTCTAGAAATATTCGTGTTTAGAATATGTATCAGTCGGTGTAAAAAAAATTATAATACCTCTCACCGTTCGCGAGATATTTGCTATAAACCATTTGCATAATAAAACTGTCTATATCTCCGATACTATTTAAACTACAATCGAAATGTCTTTGCAACAGCTTTCTTACGTCATAAGAAACCTACCCTTAAATATCAGTATGTCAAATTTTGTGAGAAAAATCGCGATCAAAAACGTGATGCATCATGCAGTTTTCAGTCTTTTTCCGATTTATTCGGCAAACTTTACGAAAAACGTTTAAAACGTTCAAACGCCTATAACTTTGAAAATTTTCGAGATAGGGCTATGGTGTGCCGGTGCAAAAAATTTCATGATACCTCTCACCGTTCGCTAGATATTCGCTAAAAACCATTTGCAACTGTTTGCATACTTCAAATGCGTATATTTGAAAACCTATTTGAACTACGATAGAAATATTTTTAGGGCAGCTTTCGAACGACATAAAGAACCTACCATATAAATATCAGCATTATTATAATCAAATTTTCCGACAAAAATAAAAAAGCGTATTGCATGATGCTATGTTTTTAGTAAAAAAAAAACAAGTTGGTATTGGTATTTTGCCTTCAGACAAGTTACATGAACTTCCCGATATGTATAAATAATCGACTTAATCAATAAAAAATAAATTAATTTATGAGTGATTAGATGTATTCCGAGTGGATTTATTACACATAATTGAAAACAAACAAACACGTTAACTCGAGTATTTTCTAAAAGCAAATTTTCGAAATCAATAATGTTTATAATTGAACCAGTATCCGTAGAACTTTATTGGTTTAGTATGATTGTTAAGATCAAGTATTCTATCGTTATACCAAGTAAATCGTCTAATTTAAATTTTAACAAACGTCAAAAAACTACTCATTTTCTCAAACTTTGATGAATTTTTAAAATTAAACTACTTGTCGTAACGTAATATTTCAGTTAGTTCTATAAGATCATGATATATATGGCCAAAAAAAGTTTCATAAAAATAAGTTTTAGATTTTCACCTAAAACTGATCAGTATCATTCCCAACTAACATTTTTCGAACAGTTTTTGATTTTTTAAAATCGATTCGGTAGTATGAGCTTAAATGTGGGCTAAATGTTTAGCACTTTTTTCCAAATTACAAAGAAACGGCTTAGCCAATCGCTGCACAAAACTGAGAAAAGATAATTCACATCAAAATACATCAAAGTTTTGAAATCGTTTTTGAGCAAACGTCGATGAAAGTTTTAATTTTGACAAACGTCAGAAAAACGATACTAACTTTTGCAAACTTTTAAAACGAATTAACGAATTAACGAATTTTTAAAATTAAACGAATTGTAATAGGGCCGTAATATTTTAGTATGATCTGTAAGACTATGGTATCTACCATTAAAAAATCATAAAAATCGTGGAAACAAAATTTAACACTTTATTACAAGAAAACGACCCGGCCGATCTTCACCAAAAACTAATCAGGTCGACTTCCAACCAATATATTTCAACCGGTTTTTTAATTTTCAAAATCGATTCAGAATTGCGGGCTAAAACGTGGACGAAATGTTTTTCACTTTTCTGCGATTTACAAAGAAACTGTTTGATATTATAATTTGATAATATTTTATTTCAATTGTTCAGCTCTACTCTGACGCAGAATCTGATGATCTGACAAATAATAGAAATCGTCACAACAACCATGATGATGACTCTGGTGACGATGATGATGATGAGCTCGATGACGTTATCCAGAGGGTGTACCGTGGGCAACCGTCAACAGTCGGTCAAGTACAACGCGACAGAGACGGCCTTGTTTTGCATACCAACGCATTGCCTGTGAGTTTATATAACTTTATTTAATATTTTATCATTCATATACGTAAATATTCTTCTGTTATTAACTTGTGTTTCTTTTTTTTTTATTATTATATTTTTAACAGCAATCAGAACCTTACGTCCTATGAGCTGTTGGGCTGAAACTTCTCCTTACTTCGTATTTTTAGATTGTAACCCAATGGTTAATTCATCCATATTTGATGATTTTTTTTATTAGAATTAATCCAATAGGGCTGACTTTTTTCATTGGTGCAGCAATGCCGGGCAAGGGCTATTTTTACTTGGAAACATATTGCTATCTATATTTCCAAGTGAAAATCGTTGTCACTGCTGCCTGACAACAGGCTGCTCGAAGTGGGTATCGAACCCGGGACCTCTGAAACAAGTCCCGTCGCTCTCAACCGCCTATCTAAGGGCGAGCTCAAACTTGTGTTTCATAAAACTTTTTTTTCAAAATTTTTTAGATTAAGTAATTATAATTGAACTAAACATATGAATCATAGATTATTAACATAAAATATATAACAATATTTATAGTTATAGTTAGGGTATAATACCTTAGAGTAATAAACTCGTATATTTTAATTGCATACTGTAGGTTATTCAACATATTCAATGAAACACAAACGTATGAGTATTTGCAATTTATATGTAGTGTAGCTAAAAAATTTTGCTACAATGAAACAATTAAATTATTTTGTATTTACATTTTACTTTAAATTTTATTTAATTAATTTAATTTATCTATGATATTGAATTGTTTATACAAGGCATCCGGATTTTATTCTATTTTTATCATGTTTATTACTCCGAAAAGTTTATTAAGAAAAATAGAGTGAGATTTAGAAAAGTAAAAAATATACTATATATATCATTTACAAAACAATCATAATATTTTTAAGAACTTGAGGTGAGAAAGTTAACAATTCACATTTTTTTTTCAATATGATTTAATCTAAGACTAGTTCTGCATGGCATTGTGCCTCAAGACAAATTGCTAGAACTTTCCGTATCTCATATACCGTATTTGAAAACGCATTTACCATATTTAAAAACTTTAAAATTTAGTGAAAAGTAGCTGTTTCAGATACGAAGTACGGACGCGCGTAAGTGCCGCGTTGCAGTCTAACCGTTAAACAATATTAATCTTGGTAGAAAACCCATAGAAATGTGATCAAAATTTGCACCTTTCATTAAAATCTCTATAAAATATCCGTGTAAATGTTTAATAATCATTTATGACTGCCAAATCAGTTCTTCGTACAGGCAATACAAATGAAAGGCTTTTTGAATCATTCAAATCAGACGCTTCATTCTTTCAAAAACCGCAATGATTTTTTTTTTCATTTTTAGCGCAAATTTTCAAAACGGCTAACCTAATCAGCATGTTTCCCCTTTGAATCGAAATCGAGTCTTTTTTGAACCATTCTAATCGGATGATCCATTGTCTCGAAATCGTCGATAAAAATTGTATCCGCACATACATACATACATTCATTCATTTTTGCTTTCATCTGTTCAAGGTATGCCAAATTGTACAAATATCCTTACACGTAAAGATGTGCAAAAATTTTCATTTTCGATTGTTGTGCGATTATTAATCCTTTCCACTCGCGAATTTATATGAAAATTCATTGGATTAGATTTGGATTGGATTTATATGAATCTGAGTCGAAAGGGTTAAACTTACCCCAAGAGAAATTAATAACTTGTAATGCTTGGCATCGTGCTTTAAGGCAAATTTTTGGAACTTTCCGTACCGTAATGAAATAATCGAGAAATTTTAAATGTTTTTAGGCTGAATTAAAATTCGAATCATTTTTGATATATATAAAAAGTTTGAAAATTAGAAGAATTTGAATTTTTGAAATTGAATAATAGATTTTAGTATTCTGAAACTTTCAAAGTCACAGTGCATCAACATATATGGTTACATTGCATCATACAAAAACGTCATATATAATTACGTGGCAAATGCTAAAAACTACTAGATTATTACTACTAGTTAATTGATATAATTTTAGTATTTAATTCGTTTCAATTAATTTGTTAATTAATAACGATTATTTCTAGCTTAATCTATGTTCATATTAGATGCGTGTATTTTATAATAAATTTTAAGTAATGATTACACAATATAAAATGAAATTAGTTATATATATATATATATATATATATATATATATATATTTTGAATTTCAGACCCAAGGTAAAATTGGATCGTTCTCCTTTGGTACTCAGGTTCAGCAACCAATTCAGCAATATAGGTAAGTCATTTTTAGTTTAATCTTTGATTTATACACTTTTAAAGTACCCTAAAATTTAAAATTTATAAATGTTTACAATTCAATCGATTCATGAGATGTGAAGTTACAACTAAAACTAATCTTCACGCATTTTGAAGGCCGGGAAAATCCTTAACTAGCATTTATTTTTATAATTGATATGTCAAACTTTTTAAAAAGAATAATGTTTCGGCGTTCTCTATGTGTAGAGATCACATAATTTTCTTAATTTATTTTATTTTTTAAGCAGTGAGTGGTATCACCTTTTTTCTAATAAATTGTATTAGCATGCCATCGTGATTTTATGATATTTTAATATACATATCACATTCAAATATTGATTGCATTTATACATTCTAAAACTAATTTTGAATGAAATATTATCATAAGTTTCATAGGTTAATAAATTATAATTTTTCTGAAAGCAAATATCTCACCGAAGCATTTTTTCGTTGTAAATTAGGACTACTGTAAATATTTTTTCAATATTGCTTGTAAAATAGTTTCTGGCTCGACGTTGTATTATTATTATTAGTTTAGATATGGGTGTTTTTGATATTGCATTTCTATTCAAAAAATACTATTTTGAAATTCTTTCCTTTGTAATCAATGGTTGGGTCTGGGAATAACATTGCAAAATTAATATTGCAAAGCAACAAAACGTTTGGCAATAAATATATAAAGTCTTTCACAGAAGTTAATCAGAATGGGCATTATCTGTATTAGCTAGAGTTTCTTAATTTCTACATTAATATTCGAGAAAGATGTAGTTGTTGCGCTTATGGGAAATTAAGCTATAATAAATTTTCCAAATTCATTTCTTTATTTAACACCTGTTCGTCAATTTCATCACTTTTACTAAAACTAGACATATGTCTGTATATTTGTGTATTGAAAATAAATCAATATATTTATATACACATATACTGTTTATTTTAATTTACTTCTTTTGCATGACTACACTTTATTTACTCAGACTTCTACTTAAAGCTTCTTACACTTTAGAGAATTGAACCCTATAATCCTGAAAAACAATAAAAATATATATATTAACATGGTAATATGTTTGTGTATATATTTGTTTGTACCTAAATTTCTGTCCTAATGCCTTTACCAAATTTGTATACCTACTGTAGAAAAATATATACTGTTCAATGGTGTCTATTCAGGCCATCCTTCTCTAGAAAAACTCCCAAATATCGCACAAATACTCCAAAATTAAACCGTGTTAAACTTCCTCCATAAAATCTTTCCCATTTTTGAAGCAGTCAACCAGAAGAGGAGCTGAGTGAGAATAGACTGTCACGAAAGAAGAGGGATAAATACTCAACTTCTAAAATTGACGATGACTTCGAAAAATGGTCTTCGAATCGCAAGAAAAGATCAGTTGTTTTATATCAATTGGAAAACAATGATTCTACTACTGGTATTCTAGCAAGTAGTGAAACTGAATTAGCTGAAACAACCGAAGAAAGCACCCGCAAGCACTTTTCAATAAACAACGAAGAAATGAAAATAGGAGAATACGGATCAAAAATTGATGAGGACGTAAAATTTTATGGTATGATACGAGGCAATCTGGAAAAGAATATTGACGATGATATATCAAAATTGGCAACAACAGAAAGCTCTGCAAAACATGCGTCCGACATTATCCAGATTTCTCATGACAAAATAGCAGAAATCGTAAACTTTCAGGACAAAATTGATAGAATTGATAATGATACCGAAAAAGAATTTACAAGGAAAACAAGACAAGTACATCCTTTGCCTATAACTGATAAAGTTCCAAACGTGCCATGGCTTGCAGAAGCTCTAATACAGCAAATTGACGCTAAAAATGCTCGCAATGCATTTGATAATTTAAAAACAAGAAATGGCCAAATAAAGTCTTCTCAGCCACCAGTATTTAGATCAAGAGACCACCGAATATATTTAGAACAAATTGATAACCAAGAGCCAGCATATAGAGCATATGTAAGCACTAAATCTGAAAATTTACCAAAATATCAAAATAGTGATTCATTAAGCAATTACAAAAATCAACCAACGAAATTTCAAAATGAACCTTTACCGTTAAAAAATTATCAAGGCTACCAGACATCCCGTGATACAAATTCAGAAAATAAGCATTATTCTCCGCAAATTTTTAACACTGGTCAATCTGGATCTTTACATGATAAATATGATGTTTTTAAACCTAGCATTATAGAAACAGGTTTTAGACCAATTATTTATAAAAGCAATATTCAAAAACAACCTGAAATACCAAGGAGTAAAAATATTCCAGTATATGAAAGTGAAGTGCCCGAAGAAAATTATTCATACTTTGTTATTGGATCAGACTACGACCGCAATAAAAATCAGAAATTTTCAAACTATAGATTTATATTTACAACAGAACCGCCACCAATCACAAAAGTGCCACCTGTAAGTACTATATTAGAATATTTCAAGAACCCTCAGATTGGTGGTAATAAAAATCCATCATCTACAGAAAAATACTACACAGAAAAAGATAAAAACGGTGACAAAAATGTTGAAGTTCAACAATCTGTACTAAAATATCACTCAACTACAACTTTAAAACCAGTTGATAGTAGAAATTTATATTTTAATTCATTGGCAGATGTGCAGAATTTTACACAACCACAACAAAAGCCGGACCAACAAATAAGATACAATCAAGCACCAAGCTATCCAAATTACAATTTAGACAATCTAAACACAAAATTGGTTCAACCAAAAATAATATTATTTCCTGTTTCCACCCCTTCGAGTGTGATAGTAGATCTGCCTTTTCAAAATTTCAAAAATGTCAACGTAAGTAACGTATTTTCAGATCCAGATTTTAGTTTTGATAAATTTATAGAAAATTTAAATGACAAACCCATAGACATTTATCAAAAAAAACCTGCTATAGAATTTAATAAAAGTACCCCAAGACCATTTGATATGAGACATGGTGATGTTGAAGTTTCCACTGAAAAAGTAAAAATTTCAGGCGCTAATCAATTTCTCGAATATATCAAAAACACAAGTGCTAAAAATTATAGTGATACCAAATCCAGTAATAATTCTAACAACTTTGATAATGATCAATATGAATATTATTATGATGATGATACGGACAGTCCGCCTACGACAGTGAAACCAATATTTGGAAATTTTAAAGTAAATAAAGAAAGACACCATAAGGAATTCCTTGCTCCAATCATAACATCTACAACACCCAGTACAGAAAATTTAAAATATCAAAGTAATGTTCATACTACTCCAAAATCTACTCTACTAAATAATTTAAATAAATTACAAGCTTATTCATATCAAGAAGTTCCTTCAAAGCCAAACTCAATTTCAACTACCAAGGCTACGTTAACATCCACATTTGTACCCAGTTATGTAACAAATGATAAATTTAATGATTTTGAAAATAAAGAACATAATTCGTCGCCATACCATATCAGTTTAACACCAGCAAAATCTACTAAAGGAGAACCAGTCGTTTCTATTACACCAAAATCTGCAACCGGTCATAGAATTCACAAACCACAACAACAGAATGTTACAGAAAATTTAGATGTTAAAATTGTCAACATACCACAAACAGTCCCAAAAATAAATACTGATAAGACAGAAGAGCTTTCTAGTTTGCCAAAGCTAAGTCCAGTTTTGAGCACAAATCCATACAAAGTTTATAATGAGGCTACAAAGCAAGCCATAGTTCCTGGATTCGATATAAATACACTGAAACAACTCAATATACACAGTGGATATACGAACAGACCAACAATACCATATGATGACTCCAGTAAATTCATTTCAAATCCGAATATCCAGTCAGGAGTTTCAAAGATTTTAAACACTGATACGAAAGTTACTCCAGGTTTATTCAGATTTACTAGTAATCCGGTAATTTATCGACCACGATATCAATCTTCACAAGTGCCCAAAAGTCCAACAATTTACCCAGAAATACCCATAACCACAGATACTCCAAATCGGGTTACAGAACAATATGCCATTACTAACTCTGACGTTTCAATGAATACGAATATACCTATACCACATACTGGGCCTGAAATAGTACTTATTGATATCCAAAAAACAACAGAAGCATCCACACACTACAACGCCAATAATGCTGGTAAAAATGTAAAACCAGATACTACTGATAATCCTACAACAGTATTCACTGAATCTCCAACAACGGATTTAGAAGAATATTATTATGATGACGAAGAAGAATTGCAAACAACCACTATTATTCCACCTCCATCTAATGATAAATTTAAAATAAGAAAGCCCGAAATTAGTATCGAAACACCAAAGTATACAGCAAATGAATTTCCTACAATTGCTAATCAGACATTTACAAATCCAATAAGTGTTGTTTCTGCTTCAATAGAAGAAGATTCAGATACCAAAGTTTCTACAACAACTACAGTAAAACCAACTATCACAAGATTTACATCTACAATAAGACCTGTATACACCATAAAACCACGAAGATTTTCTGAAAGATGGAACAGGCCAAATTCGAAAACCAGAACAAAACCAGCAAGTCCTTCAAAACCAAGAACTAATATTTTGTATACCAGGAAAAATAGACCAGAAAATTACAGTCGCAACACGCATGCTGTCATTGGCGATAAAACTGCGGAAAAAAACATATTGATCCAAACTCCAATTCTTATTTCACATGAGAACGACCAAAACCAAACAGTAGAAAAAGATAAAAAACATGAACCAAAATATTTTGACCAACATGGACCAACGCAGGCGACTAGACAGACCAATGACAATATTGACGAATTGACGAACAGGTATTAAAAATCGAATAATAAATTAACATCTTTAACAAAATAATCATTAATTATTTTAATTAATCAGTTTTTATAACATCATCAGTAACAATTAATAATACGTTTTTATATACTAATAAAAATACAGGGTCATTCCTGGTGGGCGTTACAAACATTTGTGAAATCGTATTGGGGGCTCAACGATTTAGCATCTACATTGTTAAATTATGCGTTTAAATATTTGGTTCAAACTTAAAATAAAATAAAAAACTAAATAAAAAGTGATGTTTGTGTTTCGTTTAAAGAACTTTATGTTATCATTCTTTGACATGATATTACATTTGATCTTCATTATGACACATAAATCATATTGAGTAGTCTCAAATATTATCTTTAAAATTTTTTCTTTATAACTATCGAAGAAAATAATGTAATTTCATAGTAGGGTATACATTACATTAATGGTCCAAAATGTAATTCATTTACTGTGCATTCAGGCGTTTTATACATAAACTACAACGTCACTCATATGTTATGAAGCTGAGTCAGAAAGACACTGTTATCTAAGAACGTTTTTTGACATTTGTGCGGTGCCTAGATTAGGCCTTTTATCTGACAACCTGAGAAAAACGCCTGTTTACACAGCGAGCACATGGCTTTTGTCAATAGTTAATGTAATGGAAAGTTTTTCATAACATAGTCTTGCCATAAGATTGGTCTGTTGTGCGGCAAGATCGGTCCATAAGTATACGTTAATATTACGATATACCAACTCTTATCAGATTACTTAATTAGATCAGCATTGTATAGCATAATTATGTAAAATTATATGATGTACTGAATAATAGTCGAATTGTTGGGCTCTTAATACTATAAATAGACTAGACTAGAATATATGAAGTCTAAAACACACAAGAATGACCCTGTTAGTATGAATGCATTTAGTTTTCTTAATACATAAATGAAAAATTTATATATATTATATATATATTATATATATATATATATTATATATATTATATATATTATATATATATCCATTTGTGATTTTTTCAAATCAGTATTTTGTGAAAATATTGTTGTAATTTCAAGTTAATGTTTATAATACATAGTGCAGTGCATTACCATATCCTAATACCATGGATTATTAAAATTTTCCAATTTAACACTAAGATCAACTAATTGTAAGTACTATTTACTATTTTATTTTTTCTTTTCACTCCAATTCAATTATTTTAGTTTTTAATTTTATTTTTAGTTTCCACTGAATGAAGGCTAGGATTATAGCCGAAACGTATGGATTTAAAATAAATTTTTGAAAGAAATTCATGTTTTTTATTGATGTTATGACCGATTATTAGACCTTGTTAATATATATATATATATATATATATATATATATATATATGTTGGTCCTTAATATAGACATTTTCGAATTCCCTTGCTCCCAGGTGCTCAAATGCTTAATATTAAGAGCTAAAACTTTTAGAAAATTATTTTTATCAATTTGGAAGCATTTGAGCCCCTGGGAGCAAGGAAATTCGAAAATGTCCACATTAAGGACCACCATAATATATATATATATATATATATAGGTATATATGTATATATATATATATATATATATATATATATATATATATGTATATATGTATATATATATATATATATATATATGTGTATATATATATGGATAAATTCTTAGAAGGCACAATATCTAGTAAAGCAGTAAAGCAGGATATTTCAAAGATTTTAGTATACGTTTTCAGTATATATTCAATATGAGAGTCCAAATTTGCCTTGGATGCTTCGGCTGCTCTGTTTTCTTCAAAAATTACTTAAAAAGTTATTGCTGACAGTTATATATTTGTTTTTGAAAATTGCATATCTACTGATTTCATAGAATATTATAACAAAAAGTCAGGATTAATAAAGGTGTTTTAAAATCATTACAATCTCATTTTTTACTTGATGTTATGCCCTTTCAATATTGACACACAAAACAAAATCATTTAAAAAGTTTGATAAAATGTCTGTCTCATAATGCAAGAAAGGTCTCATTATCAGTTTTAATAAAATCATCACACAACTGATTTACAAACCAATTCGAAAAATTTGGTACATATTAGTCAAATTTTGCAAAACTTTTTTTTTATTTTTATTTCCTTAAATAACAACTAAGATACAGTTTAATCTTATTTGCTGTTTTTAAAAATGAATGAAAGAATAATTTAAATTTGAAGAAGTTTTGCAAAGCTATAATAATATAAATATTTTGCGCATTTTACAAAAATATCTTTGAATTTTTTTAAACGCGAATTTTCTAAGTATAGATCGCGAATTTTATGGAATATATTTATGACAGAAATTGCTGTCAATTCGCTATGTAGAGATATTCATTAAGAATGTAGGTTTTCCAGAGGACCTTTTAAATATCAGTATCGCGAACATATTTATGTAAATACTTTATGCGAACAAAAACTATAATAAATTTAAGTAAAATTTTAATAAGTAAATAAACGTTAATTAAATTAATTTAATATTTTATGATAATGAAAAAATATTTTATGTGTATCTGTACCTACTTATTTATGCACATGACGCGCTTACTAATATTGATATTATTAAGTTAAATAGTAGTTAAAAACAACAGAGCATGATTAGATCGGCAAAATTAACGTGTTTTATTTTGAAAACAGAGTTGAACAAAACCAATACAACACGGCTCAAGATTCTTCCAAAAGGACCCAAAATAATCAGAGAACGGTCACCTACAACAATAATAGAAATAATTCGACTAATTCAAGAAATTATGCGACGCCATTTGACCCATATTATTCTCTGTCAGTCTACGATGAAGATGTAGAAATATATAAAGATCAAGGTAAGTTAATATAAAATCTGACCGACTAATTGTTATAACTGTGTATTTTTCTAACAAAGAGGGAATTTGCTGAAACTTTGCATGGTGATAGAGTTGATAGTCGAATCAAACACTTTAAAATATTATATTCATATGAGAAGTGGTTAAATTTAAAAAAATTGATCAAGATTTTTAAAAAATATACCGTGCACAATACGTACGTGTCTCTATAGCTCAGTGAATTAAGCGCTCGCTTCTACTTTTTGCGCTCGAATTCATGAATAGAAAAATTAAATGATTGGGTTCAAATCTCGCCAGCGCATTCAAAATTCAAAAGTTTCAGTACATTTTAGCATACTTTATATAAAATTCGTGTATGAGTATATGTGTGTATGGGTGTAGTTGGTATGTTTTGATACAATTTTTTGTCCACTATTTCGAGAGGACCACGGATCAACTGATTTGATTCGTATTTAAAGGTTTATTAGTTTTTGGCAAAGATAGGTCCAGCCGTTTCGAAGATATGGCGCAAAAAGTCCAAAATATGCTAATTCAATTTTTGAGAGGAGTTCCGATCCGATGGCACGCGCGAATTTATTATTTGCATTTGTTTCATGGTCCGAAGAATTGATGAAATTTTTGGGAAGTCTAGCGGTTTCAGAAATCCAATATAAAAGTAAAAAAAAATCCATTCGGCGGACAAAAATGATCATTAGACATATGCATATCAAATTATCATATATTTTATAGAGATTTTAATAATAAGTATAAATTTTGTTTACTTTTCTATGCGTCTCGTATCAAGGTGTATCGGCGCCCACGCGCATCGATATTTCATTTCAACGCAGCTAACGTATCGCTTTGAAAAAAGTTTAAAATTTCGAAAATATTTCAAAGTATAAAAAATCAAATTTTTCAAAATGGTCAATTTAAAAATCCCAAAAATCGATTTTTCTCAGAGTTCAAAAAAAAATTAAATCTTTCCAGCAATTTGCACGATGCCACACACCGCTAGTTTATTTTTATATTTAAATATTAACTTATTTTATATATATTTTGCCAATAATTGATATATTTGAAACAAATTTATAAATACACTAGCTGACCTGGCAAACGTTGTTTTGCTAAGTAAGTATTTTCTAAACAATTTCTAGAGAGTGAAAAAAATTAATACTTTGATTTGATTGTGTAAGGATGTGTTGTTTGAATGCTATATACAATGAGGTATTATAAAAGGAATAAACCCCATTAGTTTGTCTATATTTTGTTAATATAGCAAAACTGGAAGTTTTATACACTTTCTATACAAAACATGGCATAATCCAATCCAAGTCTTTTTTGGTATTTCTACTTATATAATCATTACAAATCCCATTTAATTGAATGTTGATTGCGTTTCAAGTTTTTCAGATTTTTTTGGATTCTGTAATTTGTGTATAATTGTAAATAATACTACTGTGCTTATACAGAATTTTCAAATTTCTGCGAGGAAAGATAAAAAATGAATTAAGTATTTCTTCTTTGACCTGCTTTTTTAAAAGTTTCAAGTAACATTCTATGAATTAAAGTAAATTTAATATAAAGAATATATGTAGAGTAGGGCAAGGTATTAAGGTTCAATTTGACTTTGAGCAAATATAAATTATATTACGAAAATCAAACCAATTATATCACAACGAATAACACATTTCAAACAAACAATTATCTGACTACGTTCAGTAAAACTACCAGCTGCTTCATCATTGTAGAAATGTGCCTTTTTTGCTGTCTTTCAAAAATTTTTCATCTAGACCTTCTTACCCTATAGGCGGGGTAACTTGGAACGGACAGATGGCAAACAGGTTCAAAGTCTAATTTTAATTTTAAAGGTATTTTACAAAATAATTACATTTTTAACTAATGCTAAAAAACTACCAATGGAAGAAAATACTTTTATTATGGATTTTTAAAGATTACCGTTTATTTCCCGACCACAAAAATCTAGGTTATAGCTGGTTATATATCTTTTTCTCTCTATTTTCAAATATTATTATTAAATAATGTTTAACTTTAATGGTTTTTGACACACCAGTGGTGCACCTTTCTAACCCAGGACTTTCAAGACTAAGACTGGCCAAATCCGTACAGCCATTTTTAGGTTTTACCATACTTAACATTTGATCGAGCTCCATTTTCATATATAAGAAGAATATATAGCATACGTATTTGCTTTGGGTTAACAACAGTTGAAAATTCGAATATATTACAAATTCAGCGTATTTGCTTTTTCATCTCTTTATTTGATAACAATTATATATTTTACACTGAATGATTCTTTGCACTTGTCAAAAAAATAAACGTCAATTGAAAACTCATATTGCTTTTTTGGCGGACATGTACAATTTATGTTTATTAGATTCTCCTAAATTTTTCATATGTTTACTTTCAAATTTCTTGCTCCTTGTATTTCTTTTACTTTCAAGTTTTTCTCCTGATTGGTAAACATGATTTTTATTCATTTTATTTTTTGTTATTTTATTTACTCATTTTTTAACTTCCTGTAGGGTAAGTTATAGTAATCATAAAAAAATAGAAAATGAAAATTTTTATACATTTTTACGTTTCAAAGTTTCTGAATATTTCGGCATACTTTAGAAAAAATGGATGTATGCGTGTGTGTGTATGTGTGTGTGTTTATGTGTGTGTGTGTGTGTGTGTGCGGATACAAATTTTCGTCGACAATTTCGAGAACTGGCCGGTCTAACGGTTATGGACTCAATAATTTTTTTTTATAAAAATGTAATTTGACGGTAAAAATATACACTAGACATATGCACATAAAATTATCAGATATTTTATAGAGATTTTGATAATGTGTACACATTTTGTGTCAATTTTTTTGGGTTCCGTACCAATATAAAAAAATTTTGAAATTTATGTATATGGTTCAAACAAATGTCCTCGACATTTTTGACAGAATGGAATAACCGATTTGTATTATTGAACAAACATTCGGTACTCGATCGCAAGACGTTTTTGCAAAAACCGCATCCTGTAAAAATTGCCGTGCAGTTTTTGAGAGAACGGATTATCTGATTAGATTAATTCAAAAAAAATCGTAGTTTTGAAAATCTTCAAAAAAAAAAAATTTGAATTTTCAGAAAACCCAAATTTCTAAAATTTTCGTTATTTTGAAAAAAATATCTAAAAATTTGATAAACATCAAAATTTAAAAAAAAAAACGATTTCTTACAAAAATTTGAGAATATTTCGAAATTTTCAAAAAAAAATCGGGCATTTTCAAAAATGTCCAAATTCTCAAAAAATTTAAAAGAGAACGATTTTTTTTTAAATTCCAAAATTATAAAAAAAAATTAATTTAAAAAAAAATTAAAGAAATTTCTTTTAAGCATACACATGAGTTGTTTGTAGAATACGTTCGTCGCCCAATAATGAATTTACAGTATGTATTTATAATATATATATATATATATATATATATATATATTTATATATATATTATAAATATATCTTGATAGTTTTTTTGACGTTGAAACATTTTTAAGAGTAACTAGCACCCCATTCGTCGAAATAAAAAATGTAAAAAGTATTAAAACCTTTTATATATATATATATATATATATATATATATATATATATGTTATTTCTAAATAAAATATAAATGTTCTAACAATTTGTTAATAAAAAATAATTTAATGTAAGCATTTTTTATATGCGAAAAATATGTGAATCAGATGAAACGACTAAGCATAAATTTCAAAAAGCCTAGTTTTATTCAAGAATCTTTTCTATTGACTCTATTGCGGTAGTTCCGGCTAAAGTAGAAACAATTAAATAATATTTTACAATAATATTAGAATTAAATCCAATAAAATAAACGTATTTCATTACAAATTATATAAATAATTTCAGATTATTCTCCAAGACCAGCGGTTGTGCAACAAACATACAGAACACCAGCACCAAGCCAAAGCCTAAACATTCAATCTCATCATTCTTCAACAACATTGAAAAGTGTTAGCTACGACAACAGTGCCAATTCAAACTACAATATAAATACAAACAACCAAAAACCAAGTTATGATAATAGACAAGTTTACAAAAATGATTACGACGAGGTGAGTGCACTGTATTTTTCTATTTTTTGAGCGATCAGGATCAGAACTTAAGAGTCCTATAATCTGTTGTGATGATATGACTTAAGAACTACGTCAAAAATTGTATTGATAAAGCAATGCCAAACCAGGGCTAGTTTTAATCGAAAACATATTGCTATCTATATTTCACAGCGTCACCGATGTCACTACTGCTTGTTTTTAAGCTTCCCGAGACCGCCACTAGCTTTCAATTATAAAATAATATATATTTACCATCACCATCAACTGGAAGACTCATTTTTGATAAAGAATATAACACCCATTATCACCACTTTTTTTCTACTTAAATTCCTCTATCTAATAGTAATCAGAATTAAATATATACTTTGAGGTTTACATGAATTCTTTTTAAATAAAAATTTAATATCTAAGTATAATAAACTAATTAATAGCTGAATTAATAAATATTCTAGCTATCTGATAACTTCTTGACGTATAATTCAGAAGTATTATTTTACTGCTATACTTAAGACAGTTCACACAACGCTTGTTTTCTAGGCTGGATAGCTTGCTTGATTTTGTTGCTTAAGCCCGAATCACACGACGCTTGTTTTCTGGGCTGGATAGCATGCTTGATTTTGTCGTGCTAGATTTCATGATAGTTTTTCAAGCCGTTCAAATCACACGATGCGAGAAAGCTTGCTTGCTCTGAGTGATATTTGTTTTAGCTTGCTAGGTTTTTAAATGTGATAAACCACATGTCAAAATTATGCTTTCCTATTGGTTCGAACAAACGAATTCATCCACAAAAATAGCGAACGATCAAAGTCCTAATCACACGAGGCTTGTTTTGTTGCTTTTTGATCTGTTGGCTAGTATGCTGGTCGTCAAGTCGACAAAATGCAATCATGGAAAAGTTAGAACGTGCGCTATTTTTGTAGACGGAACCAATAGGGAGGCAGTATTTGGTCATGTGATTTATAATATTTGATAATCTAGCAAGCTAAAACAAATCTCAATCTAACATCTAGCAAGCCAGAACAAATCTCACTTAAAAATTAAGCATGCTAGGACAAATCATACTTGAAAATCAAGCATTTAATGTAGCCAGCTCATAAAACAAATGCCGTGTGATTCGGGCTTCATTCATTGGTCTATGATCCATCCACAAAAATAGCGCACGTTCTGATATCAAAATCTCGCTTGCTGGAAACAAATGGAGATCGATTACCCATCATTTTGCCTACTTGATAACGAGCATGCCAGCCAGCCGACCAAAAAAGCAAAGAAACAAGCGTCGTGTGAACAGGCCTTTAGACTTCAGGATAGTTTTTCGAGCCGTTCAAACCACACGATGCGAGAAAGCTTGCTTGCGCTGAGTGAGATTTGTTTTAGCTTGCCAGATTATCAAATATTATAAATCACATGTGAAAAATCTGCTTCCTCATTCGCTCGAACGAACGAATCCATCCACAAAAATAGCGCACATTTAAGGCCCTAATTACACGAGGCTTGTTTCATTGCTTTTTTGGTCTGCTGTCTAGTATGTTGGTCGTCAAATAGGTAAAATGTCATCATAGAAAAGTTATAACGTGCACTATTTTTGTAGATGGTTTTGCTCGTTCGAGCTTGTTCGGGAGACAGTATTTGGTCATGTAATTTGTAATATTTGATAAACTAGCAAGCTAAAATATCACACTCAAAAATCAAGCAAGCTAAAACAAATCACACTCAAGAATCAAGCGTGCTATGTAGCCAGCGTATAGACTTTGCACTACACATAATGGCCCGTCTCCATTGCACGAATCCGTACGGCGAATCTGTTCGCAATGTGCGCAGACTAAATTATTGCAAGCAAAAGCAAACCTCGCGCATGTCAAAAACAGGGTTCGCCGTGCGCGTTAGTGCAGTGGAAACGGGCCATAAAATGAATTATAAGGTCTATGAGCCAACCCAGAAAACAAATGTCATTTTGCCTACTTGATAACCAGCCAGCAATGAAACAAGCGTCGTGTGAACACGCTTTATTTCTAATTGCATGGGTTCAAAATATATACTCGTTGGTCATTTATTATTAATTTCATTGTTTTCTCATTATTTATTTGGTATTTTATTCTTTTTATTTCAATATTATGATAAAATCTATTTAGAGTCACCATCATAGACTTTATTAAATCTGTCAGATTTCATCAGTCAGCCATTTGATTTTACCAGAGTTTATTAGTAATAATTATTTATCACCTGCATGTTTAATTGAATATTATTTATAACCTATATGTTAAATAATTTATTATTACTTTCAGATTGATGACCAAAGTTACAGACAACCAATTAAAACTCAAACCAGGTAATATAATTATAATTTAATAGTACTTAACTAAAACACATTTCACATATTCATTTCAAAGTTTTTTTACATAATTTTTTTATTGATCTTTTCATATACGATACTCGTACATTACATAACCATACCAATATTGTCGCCCATAATCTAAGAAAGTTATCAATTTTAAAACGAATAATAATTTTCTGATAAATATTTTTTCAATATGAATGAATTAAATTATTATTCTAACACAGTAATAATTTAAAAATAAAAAATCTAATTTAAATAAATTACTATAACAGTAATTAATAATTTAATAAATAATGAAAGACAAAACCTTAAACTACGGACTATAAAATTTGTTTTTGTTAATTGAATTATTTTGATTTGGAAGTTTATAAAAATCTGCATAAATCAGTTTACAACATTTAACTAAAATATACGAACCTAATCATTTATGTATACATTTATATAATAAATAATTTATAAAAAATAACGCATAAAGCATTAAGTTTTATTATGCATTACATTATGCAGTGATGCTCATGAAATAATTATAGTATTTTTTTTTAATTAATAAAATAAAATTAAATTACATTTTCGTTAAGCATATTAAAATAAAAATTAATTAATGATTTCGTTATGATTACGATTATTGTTAATGTATTATTTACAAGTCGTTTATTCCTATTTTTCATCTTTACTACAATGGAGCTAGGGGCTGGTTGCAACAGTTTTATTTTAATTAATATATCTTGAGATCTACTGATTATATTTTTATGAATTAAACTTGAATAGATACTATAAAAATTCATCTGCCGAATCCACCAAAAATAATCCATAGCTGTTGTTGAATTATTTTCTAGAAAAATTTTAGTTGTTCTAGAATAACTCTTTGTTTGGGGCTAGTTGTGACATCTATGGAAGCAACTAGTAATGACAAAAATCAGTGAAAATTTATTTTTTACTTGTTTTTAAAGAAAATTGGAATGTTGCTAAGCACATGATTTTTTTAGAAATCAACGTATGTAATACACATAAATCAAAGTAAACTACAATTATTACAAATAAGAGATATAGTTTCTCCAGTAACACAATTTATATGTGCCCATAACTTACAAACTATACATTCCACTCAATCATCTTTACTTAAATCTTTATATAATTGTATGTTACAACTAATCCCAGAGTTTTGTTTCAACTAAACCCAGGTGGATTTTTTTTACTATCAAGATAACAAAGATAACAAAGCAATTTAGCAATGGCAAAACTTGTTACATATTATCAATAATTGTTAAATTTGAAACCAAATAAGATTTGTTAAATTTATATTTAATCTATAATATTAACGCTAACCTAAATTTTATGATAGCACAAGTTTATATTACATGTCAAAAATGACGGACCTGCACAGTTGTGTATATAGCGTCGGCATGCAGCACAATAGCTATGACAATATAATGCTGGATGGTTCATATGTTCAATCCAGACAAAAAATATTTTTAAAATTGTACGAAATTATATTGAAAAACGTCTGATACTACTTACCCCTATTGCATAAAGCCCCTAGCTGTCCATAATTTAGATGTACGAAATATATTAGCATATATCACGGATACGAATCATCTTTATGATAATATTTAGCCAAGCAAACAAAATATTAAACAAAAAATTATTAAAAATAGCGAAAATGCACCGGTAAAAAGTGCAGTAGAGGAAAAAGAAGTAGAAATTCCTGAAGATGATTTAATAGATCAAGAGGAAAGTATTGAAGATGATATTAAAGTTCAGGATAAAAATATTGAAATTCAAGATAAAAATGAAGCAGCACAACAATCCACAGCTAAAACACGCACTAGGTACTATGCACAACATGAAGTCAACCATTTAGCAATTCAGAATACTCATAATAATATCCATATAAAGATGCTACGTATATTGAACCATTTTTGTCAAAAATTGTATCATATTGTCATAAAATAATTTGAATTAAAATTCTTATTTCAGACAAATCTAAACTGGTTCAAATATGTAGTATTTTTCATTTTCTAAATTTCATTTACTTTTACACCATTCATCTCAGTAACCATTACATAATTCCTTATAATTTAATTATACATAATATTCAAATCATTGTTATACAAGTGCTATTTTTTGCAAATAATATTGGTGTATATATCGATTTTTTTATATTTTCATTTCATATGTTTGGGACTGAAATTGGATATAGGATCATAATCATGTTTTGTATGGTAACCTCATACTTTCACTTATATCATTTATTATAATCTTAAGTTTTATATATGTTTTCATATATATTCCGAATTGAATCCCAGATAAAATTTAAATGTTAGAAAATGAAATGGTAGTAATGAACTGTCAACTAGTGGTATATGGCATGGTGCATTAAAACAAATTTTTGGAACTTCCCATACCGTAACGAAATATTCGAAGAATATTAAAAGTTTTTAAATAGATTATTATGATTACTGTTACATTATCCAATATTTAAAGTATATAAGTGAGCTTTAGAACTTTATCCAGAATTAAAATTATAACCCGAATTATTAATTTTGTAATAAAAAAACCAAAAGCAATCGTTTAGTCAACACAAGTTTTTTGAAACATTTAAACCGGATGCTTAATTTTCTCAATTCTGCAATTTTTTGCATAGTTAGCTTCGTATCATTAAAAAAAGTCTGGACCTGCCTTTGCCAAAAACTAATCACCACTACTAATCACATAATTAGGAATTGAATGTTTTTTGGATAATTCAAATCGGATGCTTCTTTCTCTTAAAAACTCGATTTCTATTTTCTGCACTGTTTGCTGTGTATCCCCAAAACGGCTAGACTTGCCCTTGCCAAAATTAATCTGCATATGTCTCTAGCAATAGAAATATAGTGTTTTCTAAACCATCGATTGAACCGCGCGGGCGAAATCGTGGACGAAAAACACACACACAACCATTTTTGCTAAAGTATGCCAAAATCAGGAACCTTCAAAATGTTAAGACATCCAAAAAGTTTCAATTTCGATTTTTAGACGATTACAATAACTTACCCTACAAGAAGTTAAAAAGCTATGTATTTCCTGAGCGATCAGACATTTTGCATAGATTTACGTATTTATTATCAAAGTGACATCCAAAAGTTACACTCATGATAAAATTGCTATTTGCGCATTTTGTAGGTTAGGATGTTAGGATTTATGTGTAAAACGCCTGATCGTACAGCAATTTTAGCAAATACAAGTTACTATTAACTCATACGAGAATAGATCTGTAACATAGTATAACCACAACATTTCTATTTTATCCGATAATTGGCCGCATAGAAAATTGAGTTATATCACCGCAAAAAATTTGAAGGTTCAGTTATACCTTGGTTTTTAATATTTTCTTAGATACTAACGTCATATGCGGAAATGTAGTGTGAAGATTTTACTAAAATCATTTTATAAAATAAATATTATATTTTATTTTGAATTCACAGAAATTAAAATAATAATATTAATAAATTTTAAAATTTAATGGCTTCTACAATATCGTAGCATAAAGACAAAAACAGTTTCCAAATAAATATCTACATATGTATCCGGAATGATCTCAGTTTATAATTATTTTGAAAACCTATCGTCATCATCAATCTAAACGGTTAAGAAGTTATAATTTGTAAATTTGATTAATGGTCTAAAAAGTCATACTAATATAAAACAAACGCTACATTTAAAAATATAAATATTGTAAACATTTATAAACATATAAATAAGCATATATATTTTTGACACATTCTGATAAATAAAATAAAATATTCAACATTTCGAAAATTTTGTAGTTAGATATATAACCAAAAATAATTATTGTATATCTTCATTTATATTTAAAATGTAATTTAAAACTTCATTTTTTCTTTTTTATCATTGGAACAGATCCGGTTCAGAGACGTCACCAAATGAAAACAATTCAGAAATAAATCCTAAAATTCCCCAAAATGTTGCTTTAAATTATCCTTCTTCCTTTAGAAATACACCGCAAAATAATAATAGACAATTTGGCCATGATTTGGATGTAAATTATAATAAACAGGAAGAAGATATTCAGAGAAAACTTTCTGAATCTTCTAAAGTCTCCGATGTTGCTCAAAATAATACACGAATTAATTCTTTGCAACAACGTCGGGGGCAGGTATCTTCATATGTCACTGATACCCAAATTGATGGTCAAAAGTCTGCTATTTCAACACACCAAACAGTACATGACTTAAATACTAACAGTAAACCATTTTCAACACTACAGCAACAACGCGAAAATTACCCACAAATTTCAAACTTTGACACGACACACAAACAGACGAGCATTGGGTCAGTTCAGATTACAAATGATAATAATATCAATCAACAAAATGATAATTCAAAACAAGATTCAATACAAATCCCAAAGGTTTTAAATAGGTTTTCTTCATTCAACCTTCCAGAAACTACTACAGTAAGAGCATTTACTTCTCACAATAACAATCAGAACATCAATGTTACTCGAAAACCTTTAAATTATTACAGTTATAATAGTGATTTTCATGTTACACAAACAACAGAAAATGTTGATTTGAAACAAGATGAAATTTCCACTGAAATTTATAATACTAAAACAAAGTTAAGAATTGAACCAATATATCATAGGAACGCATATCTGACGACTACTACCGAAGAAAACACAGAATCAGCAATTGTTAATATAGAAAAAACAAAAAATAACAATGTCCGAAATGTTGTAATTGAACCAAATTCAAATCAAGGTGCACAAGCTCAAGATAATTATTTTGTTCAGCCGAAGCATTTCAGACAAATAGTTTTATCTACTACTGAACCATTAAAAGCTAGTTTAGACAATGATGCAATCTTATCTCATGTTACTAAAAATCCATGGACAGATTTTCGTAATCTTATTTCATCAACTATTTCACCTAGTAGATTCACAAGTAATCGACTTCAAGAGATAAATATTCAATCAACTACACAACCCACACAAACTACAACAAGATCTCTTCCGATTGCTGACAAAAATTCCGAATCCTTGGTGAGGACAACATTTAGAAATAATTATCACTTTGATACATCTACCCAAAATCCATCTATCGAAAAAGTAATTGAAACTTCAACTCTTGCGAATATGGTTAATCAAAATCCAAATACCGAGCCAGAAAAAAGTTCTAGAGTTCGCCCGAATGTTAAGAATTCGATATCAAATAACAAACACGCTGTAAGTACCAATAGTCCAGTCAGTCGCTCCAAACCGCGGCCAATCGTGAGGCAACCTGCACCTTTCATGACTAAAAAGGGTAGCGGTGAAATAGTTAGAGATAGTCAAGAATCAGAATCAATCACACAATTGCGTAGAAAGCCATTTTTATTTGATGAGAAACCATTTTCAAATGATGGCAATAAACAAAACCAAAAAAATTTTGTAACCGATTCAACACTTCTTGTAAACTCTAGAAGAGCATTCAAAGAAGTGTTGAATAAAACAAGAGATGTTCAACGAACAACAGTATCGCCATACAAAAGTTTAGAAACAATTAGAACCACATTCGACGATAAAAGTTTTGGTTTCGTAAGTGACATAGAAAGCATTACTAAAGGATTGGTTTTAGATGAACCTAAACATCATTTCGATGATACTCCTATAGATATACCAACAACTTTTAGACCAAATATCAAATTTATTTTAACGTCAGAAGCTAACAACTTTGATGACAAAGATTTGGTTTTAGGAACAAAAACTCAACAGCAAATTATATTAAAGCAAAAATCGCCTCTACCTCCTGCAAATGAACCCGCAATTGAAGATTTTCCTGGACAGTTAAGAGGGCGTTATTCTCTTCCAATCAAAGATCACAGCGCAACAACAGAAGAAATTTGGAGAGAACCGCCATTCAAATCTCGTTTTTCATTTTCTCCTAAAAATTCAAAATTGACGGCACATTTCACAACTGAAACACCAACTTCTAGCACAGAAAACTCTATTACGAGTACACCAGAAAATAAACTAATTTACGAAATACCTGGAGGGATTTTAATTAATAAGAATAGTAAGGAAAGAGGCGATGGTAATGAAAATAAGAACAGCGGTAATGTCCACTTTAATATAAATAATAGAGGTTACATTAAACATAAATATTTTTTGGAAAACTATGAATCATCCACAGCATCTCCTCATATTTCTACTCATCCACCCTATAAACAAAAATTTAGAGCCACAGTTGAAGTTCCTAGTGAAAAAGATTTAGTTTCACGGTCACAAACTGAAAGTGCAACAGAAATCCCAATAAAAGCGACTACTAAATATCAATCAGAAATTAACAATGAACAAAATATAAAAGCTACCATAACGACTTTTAGGCCACACGTCAACGACCAAAAACCCATAAATATAACAAATTCTACAAAAATAGATAACACCAGAGCAAAACATAATAGCAGACATCATACAACTAAACGACCGATGACAGATGAAGAACGCTTTAAAATGGAGTATGAACAAATTAGAAGTGATCTTACACATGCCAGCAGACATCATGCAAATCTAGGTCGCCCAAAATTTGGTGGTAGCGATTCAAAATCTGGTTACAGGCGAACTGAACCTATATTTAGACGAGATCAGGCAAGTACATTTAATGAGGGTTCTATTATAAAACTTCGTACAGATTTTGTGAAAAGTAAAATCAATTCCCAAAGGGATAAAAATATTTTAGGTAAATTGCGACCAAGCCCAACTGAAGACTCAAGCGAGCAGGATGTTATTGAAAGAACCACTGCAAAGGCTACAGAAATACCAATTAATTACAAATTTATACAGAATGATAGGCAGAAGTTTCATAGTGTACCAACAAAATCAGGCTTTATTACAAGCAAAAACAATTTTGACGATAAATTGGAAAAGCCCGCAAAGCTAGATCTTGAAGAGGAAACAGAAACAGAACATAAAGAATTTGATGAAATTAAAGCATATATCGATCAACTAAACTTTGATGAGCCAAGTACGGAAGTTATAATTAGAGAAGAAAATCCAAGGTATAAAGATCATACTAAAATATATTTGAGGCCTAAAATTACTAATACCAATAAGGTACAAATAAATTCAGAAACGGAAACCGATAATTTGCAACAAGAAGATAAAATATATTCACCAGGAGCATTAAACCAAACGGGGTTGTACTTAGAACAAAACCATGAACCAACACCGACAATTTATTTAGACCATACTAAACTTTATATATACGAGAACCAGACTAATCTCGAACAACAACCAAAAGACTTGATAGCCACTTATGTACAACAAAATATTACTAATTATAACCAACAAGTATCAAAAGACGACCAGAAGGTTTATGACGTAGACACAGACTTAGGTATCCTAAAGACCTTAAATCAAAAACCGGTATTGATACCAGCAATTCCATCTCGAGCCTCCAGAGTGAACGCCGATATCAGACAGATGATCAACAGCAGAAATCGAGATCAAAATCATAGCAAGGAACCCATCAGATGTTCCAAGGATAACGCTAGTACACGATGCAATGAAGTTATTGCTGTTAGTTCTGCAACACCTAGGTACAAACAAACTGACAAAATTTACAGAAGAAACTTCGAAAATTCGCCTTGTTATTCCAAATTTTGTTGCATTAATTAATTGATCTTTCGGCATTACAAATAGTATCAAATGATATTAATGTAGCTTCATCATAAACATAAACCACAATTACAGAAACCAAAATTCAATTAATTTTGAAGCATATAATTTGGTTTGAGAAGAGTATGAATGTATGATTCTTAAATAGTAAAATGATAGTATTTTCGATTTGCTATTTAGAATATTAGATTATAAAAATAATGATGTATGATTAGTTTGATGAAAGTAAACTTTCAATTCTAGTTTTGCGAGGAATTTCATTTTTACTATCTATATAGGTAAATAATTTCTAACAAACTACTGTATAATGAATGGCATACTGAGTAAAATCAGAAAATCTATAATAATTTTTTTGAACTATTGTTGAATACACTTAGAGTCATATGATAAATTTGATGCATGTTAGACTCAAAATAGAGATATTTACTTAGTATGACATTATACTGAAAACAAACCTAAAACATCTTATTACTTATGAAATAATATGTTTTGTTAAATTGTGTTTCACAAAACAACTATGCACTTTTATAGAATTTATAAAAAACACACTTACACAAAAGCCTATTCCTAAATAATTTCCATTAATTTTTCCAACATTGTTGTACATCTAAACTTATGTGATATTTAGTTTTTATTTCTGTGTATTGTTTTCATCTGTCTATTAGATTGCGTATTTACATACATGTATATATATATATATATATATATATATATATATATATATATATATATATATATATATATATATATATGTATTATCCTAGATTGACTTGCTTTAAATTTCCATCTTCGATAAAATATGACTAATATTTTATGCATGAACGCTTTTTAACTGCATTTATAAAATTTTATTTTGGTACTTATGTAAATACAGACATGCATATACATATATCGCAAAGATTTTTTTTAATTAGACCAAATTTTGAGCTTACTGCATATGATACGTACATATTTTAGGTGATTTATCTCTGTACAAGTAATATCTCTGAAATATTTTATCAACTACGATAAATAGTATAACCATGGTTAAGGAATCGTATTGTATTTTTATTTGATATATTAGATATTTTTAGTTAAAAAAAGTCACTCAATTTTTTTTACACTTTCATATAATGCAAATTTGAATTCTCATCTTGTCGATATATTATAAACATGCATGTAATTAGTTAATTTAAAATTTCATAATACCATCATTATCATATCTACATGTATTTCATTCTGTGTTAATTTTCAATAATACTGATTCACATACACACACGCCTTGTAGTAATCATAACTTACTTACTAGTATTCATTTTAAATATTTGTGTTTATATATAATAACATTTGCAATGTCAACAGAACAAGAGGTAGAGGCAATGCTCATTACACTACAGGAGATTTAATCGAAACTTCAATCACTCCAAACAACAATAATATAAACAGAGGCACACCACCAAAGTAAGTCTTATTGGGTAATTATTTTAATATCATTCCAAGCTTTTTAACCCTTTCGGTACAAGCGGCGCCTAAAGACGACAACCACATACCTATCTGTGTGTGCAAGTGTCGTCTTTAGACGACATTCAGTGTATCGTCTATTGCTCCGAGATCCATTATTCTGAGTTAATCCAATGGGACTTCTAATTTTTTGTTGTGGTTTCTTAGAAGTATATTTTTTTATTTCTAAATATATTTTTATTGATAATGATTGAAAAAACCTAAAATATGTTGTTGGCGGCCTGCGGTACCATACAGCAGTATCACTCCTGTGGAAAATACTTCCGTCGATAAAAGGTCTTCAAAATTTCGATTTGTCTCGTATAAATTGTATATAATTTTGCAGTTCTTAAGGTTTTACTATCACAAAATCTTGTTCAAATTAAAATTTTATTATATTTAAATTATAAAAAAATTGATAACTACACTTTACTCAATAAGTCCGTAGGATAACTAAGAAAACCCCTTTTTTGGCAAAATTTTTTTTTTATTCAATATAGTTTTCTTCGAAGACTATGTGCCGATTGTAGCGAGATTCAAACTTTTTGAAAACATTTTTGTAGTACGATTTGTACTTAGCCACAAAATATTCTCATCATTTGGCAAAAATTCTTTCAGAGCGAGCATCTTTTTGAGATCTGAGAAGAGGATGTGGTCGCTAGGGAACAGATCTAGAGAATATAGTGAGTGAAAAAACAATTCGGAGCCCAATTCATGTTTTTATGCCACTATTTTCACGGTTTTGTGACTTGGTGCGTTGTCCCGATGAAGCTGCAAAGTTTTCCTTTTCAAATGGCGCCGTTTTTCCGATTATGATCTCCAAATGTTTTAATGACGTTATACAGTAGTCACTGTTAATAGCCTGTCTTTCTTCAGATAGTATTGAAGATCATTCCTTGCAAATCGCAAAAACTGACGCCATAATTAAGCCAGCTGATTGTTTGCATTTTTTCTCGCCTTCGTGCCTGGCCTACTCGGCAGACATATTGATGCCTGTGGTGACATATTGATGCAAAAATTCAGCTTTATTTTGATCAACTAGCTCCAAATACTCTTACGAATCATCAACTTGTTATGCTTTTGGTCAAATGTGAGTTCGCGCGGCATCCATTAAGCACCGAGGTTTTTCCTTTTCAAATATTTAGGAACGATATGTCCAATACATTCTGTCGATATCTTTAAGGTGTCTGCTATCTAAGACAATTTTACTTTTCGGTTTTCCAAAACGATTCGGTGGACATTTTTATATTTTCCGGTGTAACCACCTCAGTTGGCCTTCCAGAGCGTTCAGCATCGTCAGTGTTTGTATGGCCACGATTAAAATCAGCAAACCACTTCTTCACCAATTGCCTCGATTTGGCACAGTCCACATAATACTTATCGAGCGATACTTTGGCAGTAATTGTATTCATACCTATCAAAAAGCAATGATAAATCAACCCACGAAATTGCTTTGAATTCATGGTTTCGAAAAACTCATAAGTATCGTCACTTGATCCTCTGTAATTTGTAAACTTATCGTCGGATTGTCATGAAATTTTGACATATATCTTTTTAAATTTGTTGTTTCCTACAATTTATATCGATGATTACAAAGCTACATTATCTATGTGTTATCACTCGGACTTATTGAGTGACGTAATAATTTAAAATGTTCATTTATTCAGTTCAAATCATTATAAAATGAAGTTGTTGCCTTTCTGATCATTATTTTTGACACGAAATGTTAATTTATTTTTAAAACATCTTTTCTTTAACAATTTGATTAAACATAAGTTTAAATAATATGTTTTTTTTTATTTAAGTTAATCATCACGATTTTATTAAGCTGTAAACTAGTTATGACTTTATTCATTGATTTTGTTGTTCTTTTTGGAATAAATATTGTTGTTTTACATTTAGTCGTGGATCTAGGCCGACGTTGAAACCATCTACTTCAATCATTGCGCAAGCTCAACAATTTGTGGATATTTACCGTTATCCACCATCAAGACCACCAGCGATATACCCAGTTCCCACACCAGACAAACCAGCCGCAAAATGCCGAGCGGATGTTTGCTTAATTCCCGACTGCAGTTGCGGTGGAAAAGATATACCAGGTAAACTGTGGTTCTTGATCGTATTTAACTTTCACATAAAATTGATAAAGGTTGGATTCTATTTGGAATCCACAATTACAAAAAAATTCGAAATTTATTCGAAATAAATATTTTTTGTTTTATTAAACCCAGAATTGAATGTTCTGATAATTAGACTTAACTAACTAGTGTAGATTTATGGATGATAACCCAAACAGTTGCCTATCGCAATGTGATGAATTTTTTTATTACAATATCAGTAATACTGATGAATTTTTTATCGATGCAGCAATGCCGTACAAGAGCTATTTTTACTTGGAAACTTATTGCTATCTATATTTCCAAGTGAAAACTGATGTCACTATTGCTTGACATTAGGCTGTCAAACCAGAGAATTTTGGTTGAAATCCCATAGCTCTAATGTTTGTCCCATAGCACCAATAAGAAGAAAATATATGAAATGTTAGATTAAAATACTTGTATAACATGGTGTCTAATTTTTATAACACAAAAATCTTTCTGGTTTAGACATTTTCGAAAAACTGAATATTTTACAATTTAAATAAATCAAAAACTATTCTTTTGGTGTAAGTTGATAATCATGTTGATTTATTTGATAGGAACATCCCAAATTTGAAAATTAATTAATTTGATGATGTTGCCAAATATTTCTAATTGTTTGACTTTTAAAAATACGAGAAACGTAAGTTTAAAGATTTGTCCTTTGGTCGATAAGTTTTTCAGTAAAATTCAAACACAATTATCTTTAATGGACAACAAGATGATTACAAAACAAAATGGCACTTTTGTTTTTTTCTTCCAACTTTTTTTTTAAAATCTACTTAAAACTGTACGCTGATTTCAAATATACCTTGAATTTTTTATTTAAGCAGATGCTCAAAAAATACCCATATTTAAAACTGTGTTTATTCTAAATTTGTATTTCTGGCCAACAACACTTACTGTCTCTAATAGCAGCTTATAATTGAAAATATAAAATATTTCTTATAATTAGAGTCAAATAGATTTCGAAATTTATAAATGTGTCAAAAGTGGTGATGGGTATCGGACTAGATAATTTATTTTGTACATCTAATTATTTATTATTTAATATGAAATTAATCCAAGTAAAATTATGTATCTCTAAGATAGTAATTTTTTAAATTTTCACTTAATAAAATTATGAATCATATATGTTAACTAAAATTTTCTCATCAGATACATATTTTCAACTTGGTTGGTATTTGAAAAAGATGACAACCATTCCATTTTCCAGCATAAGTATTAACCAAAATTTTAAAATAGGCAATATATCAGCAAAAGAGACACCACAAATTGTCTTATTGACATTTGATGATGCTATCAACGATCTCAACTCAGCCATTTATGAGGACCTCTTCGAAAAGGGTCGTAAGAACCCAAATGGCTGTCCAATTACAGCAACATTTTATGTTTCACATGAATGGACAGATTATTCTCAAGTGCAAAATCTTTATGCTGATGGCCATGAGATGGCTTCGCACACTATATCGTAATTATTTATTATATCTTTTGGGTTTTACAGGTCGCTTGATGGAAATTGTTTTTATAATTTTAATTATTTTAATAGCAATATCACATTTAGAGATAATATTCATAATAAGTAGGATTCAATCTCACAAACTTTCATAACTATAAGGATCTGGTAACAAAAAGATCTGAACAAACAATGAACTACAGTGACAGTTATAAATGACAAGTTAAACTTAGTTTTCGGAGTACTATTAATTGAATAAAAGATATAGACATTACACTACATGGAGTACATGCTAGTCATCATATGCTTCCAACTTATAAAGTGTCAAAAGATAGAAGGAGACTGTAACGTCACTTAGTGAACGAGCGCTGCCGACAATCGTAAACACTCAATCAATCCCGATTGATTAAATGTCATATTATATTATGATGTATAATATAGAATTTAATCGAACATAGAATATTTACTTTTAGGTTAAACACGTGACATATGACCTATGACATTTAATTAATTGGGAGTGTTTCACGATTGTCGGCAATGCTCGCTCACTAAGTGACGTCGCTCTTTTTATATCTTTGTACACTTATTTTGCGCTCCACTAGCAGTCCATGTAGTGTAAGGTCTATGATAAAACGATATAAATAGTGATATTTTATTTTGTAGAAAACTGACATTACTCTCAAATATTTTAATAAGTATAATAATATAAAATTAAAGTACAAGTACAAACTGATAAGCTCTTTACATATTCTTTCAATTGAATCATTTTGTTATATTAATTTTGTGAACAATCAGATCTGCTTGCAATGATGGGATCCCTTAAACAAATAAACAATAATTTGTTTCAACTCAAAATCTTCGATAAAATTGAGATATAATTTGAGGAGTCGTGATTAAAAAATAATAATTAAATCAGGATCGAGAAAACTATATTAATACCTTTTTTACGAGTTGATAATATGACACAACTAAAATTTCATTAAACTCTTAGAATTCTGAGAATATAATATTATATATTAAAAACTGAAATTCAAAAATACTTTTAAAGTTATTATTTTATAAAATACGTAAGTTACTATTTTATAAAATACGTTTTTGTAAGAACTGAACTACTTGCAAAATTCAAATAATTTTTGAAATTGAAAATATAGTAAATCTAATAAATTTTGCAGGTACTTTTACAGATAATTTGCCATTGGCTGTCATAGTTAAAGATTTCATTTTGATATTTTTGAAAAAACAAATCTTATGCAAGGATATTATCTCTAATACAGTATGTTCAAAATTAACACACCAATGGTTTAAAATTCATCTAAATAATATTCAATTAATATAATTTCATATTAATAAACATTACATCACAACCACATAATTTGAAGACCTTATGTGGATATCATTTTAACCAATTCAATTTTTTGCTTTGTAACAGGTGTCTCCGTCAAATGTTCCAGAGAATATTTATTATTGGCATTTATATATTTTTTTAATTTATTACATTTATTTGCTAAAACTAATGTTTATGTGTTTTATGTTTTTTTCATCTCTTTGCTGACCACAATTACTTGGACAAACATCAATTTGGCAACTTGGAATAATGGACTGACCTGACAATTGTGAATTCTTTCCTCTTACAATTTTTTATTGGTTTTGCAATACCATATCCTATCCATCATCCATTATATGTTCGACACCAAACCAATGTCCTTTTTCCTGTGTTTTGACAATTCAGGAGACATTCCTGTAGACCAAGTTCCCCAAATTGTCATGTTGACATTTGACGACTCTGTGAACGACTTGAACAAAGTCCTGTACCAGGATCTTTTTGAAAAAGGACGAAAGAATCCGAATGGATGTCCAATAACTGCTACATTTTACGTTTCCCACGAATGGACTGATTATTCTCAAGTGCAGAATTTGTATGTCGATGGCCATGAGATGGCCTCTCATACCGTCTCGTAAGTTAAAAGAAAAATGTAGCCAAATGTAGCTTCATTTAGAAAGTACAACACAACACTAGTAGTAATAGCACATGATGAGTAATAAGTAATGTGTAATTTATAGATTAACTTCTTTATATTCAAATTAGAATTTCGGTTCTTGCATGATACATCTTAGAATTTAATCGAGTCTTTTTTTTAGTTTTGTGAGTAAAAGCATTATATTAATATCTAAATTGCTTACCTAATTTATTTCATTAGAAACCCCTGCTTAATAATTGTAAGAAAAGTAGGATGGTTGCAAAACCAAATAAAATTTGACGGATGTTCATATTTATCATTCGCCCAATTTTGACGATTTTCAAACAGGGCATACATTATCTAAGTAAATAATTTTATTTACATAATTGTATTAGTTTATCAAGGTAGTCTGATATATTTTATTTATTCACGTTTTGGAGTATTAATGTATAGAAATTAGAAGGTTGTTCTTTATTTATTTTTTTTGTTAAATTAGAAGATGATTTGCTGAACAAATTTGTCCAGCAGAATTTTTAGTACTCCAAAGATCTTCAGTGCAACTTTCAATCTTTTTATTCATTAATAAAATTTATAGTAAATTGTTGAAGCAAAACTTATATAATTGAACATACAATTCTTTACTATTAATTTAGGTACTATTATGAGATGGACATTCATACTGCAGCTTTTTATTTAATCATTAATTTTATTAATATGGATGTAGATTATTATTACTAACAGATGATTAACAGTATATAAATACTGGTATTTTTATTTATTGGTTTATTGCATTGGTAACTGTAGTTATATTGATATACTAATTATTTTTAAAATATATATTGTTATTTAACCATATATAATAACAATATTTGGAAGTGGTTTTAAAGTGTGATTGGAAAGGACTTCAGACCCCATTCATTAATAATATTGATAAAATACTCTCAAAATTGTCTGAATAGTATTCTAGTCTATATTATTTAAAATATTTAATAATAATTTAAATCCTATTTCTACCAAATTGTACCATTTTTTTAACGATCTATTGTTAGCACGCGTAATTTTTTCTTATATTAAAAATTTGAGTTTTTCGTGCTCTATTGAATATTTTTATAATTTTATTTAAAAACACTCAAAATGTTAGTCTTGCATTTAAAAATTGTTTTTGCTAAAAAAAATAGCAATGTAAAATACAATTTTATAATATAAAATTCCAATTTTCAATGTATTATGGAAATAAAAATGTCTACAAACAAATATTGAGCCACGTTCGAAAAAATATTTTTGATTCTAGTTTTCAACCATTTGTGGAGAAAATAAGTACGTTAGAAAGTATAAAATATATAAAGTATTTTAGCAATACCGATAACCAAAAGCAATTTACGCATGTTTATTATATTTTTATATTTCATGGAGTTTTTTGAAATATATTTGTTTATACCATTATTTGCGTCTATGTGCCACTAATTCTTTTATTTTATTTATAATAGTCATAGTTTTGGAGAACAATTTTCGCAACGAAAGTGGGCGAGAGAAGTTGCCGGACAACGAGAAATTTTGGCGGCTTATGGTGGAGTGAGATTGGAGGATGTACGAGGTATATATCTCAATTTTTTAAAACATAAACGCATTTAAAAATCTATGCAAATATTTTAAATTGAGAAACTATAATTATCTGTAGCGAGCGATACAGAGATTTTCATATCAAATCTTGGTCGAGTACTATAGTTCATACAGATATAAAATTTATATAAACTTGAAAAATTGTAAAAGATTGAAGAGAATTGTGGTAGTTAATTACTGTACCAAATATATCAGATTATATTGCATACGTTTTATATTGAGCGCACGGTAATAAGAAAAAGATATAAAAAATATTTAAAAACAAATAAAATCCAATTTATTAATTTCATAGCCAAAAAGGCTAAAAAATGGCAACAAAGATTTTGAAAATCCATGAAATTCAATGAGTGAATGCATAGGTTAGTTTTGCGCGATTATTGGCCCAGACGGTTTTTCATAATTTGCAGATGAGTGCTAAATTACATAAATAATAATTACGTAAATAATCCATTTTGATTTATTGAGTCGTTCAATATCATCGGTAGATCAACTTAAAATAAATATAAAAGTTATGGTAGATTATATAAAGCGCTTTTGAAATAGAGATACCTCTGAAATTAAGATTTTAAAATAGAAATTTAAAACTCATAAATTAAAGATAATTTAGTAATAATGATAGTGATATTTTGTAAACGTTTTGTTTACAAATCGGTTTGTTTATCAAAAATGTTTTATGTATTTTTATGCACACATAACTAACTTTTTTTAATATTCACCAGGAATGCGCGCACCATTCTTATCGGTTGGAGGGAATAAAATGTATAAGATGTTATACGATCAAAACTTTACCTATGATTCAAGTATGCCGGTTTACGAAAACAGACCCCCAAGTTGGCCGTATACATTGGATTATAAAATATTCCATGATTGTATGATACCACCATGTCCCACCAGAAGTTACCCAGGTACGTTTATGGTGTAAAGCAATATTTGGCCAAGAATTTGAAAAAATTATATTATATATATATATAAGAAAAACATATACATAGCTATGACTTCAATATTCATTTTCACGAATTAAAGAACTTTCGAAAGATATCGAATGATTCTTCTATGAAAGGCCTGACAAATTAATTTTCTATGTCATTCAATGAGTAGGGTAGGGCGGGGCTAGTTGAGCATAGGGGCAAGTTGAGCAATCGAAATATCTCGAAAACTATTCACCGTCGGTTTAGGCATTATATGGCGGAAAGATAGAGATTTGGGAGAAATAGACATCCCGCGATTGCTAGTAGCCGCTGGACAAATGAGTGAGGCTCACGGGCGTTTTGTTTATTTTGAGACCAAAAAGTAAACAAGTCATTCATCACGAGTTTTCGTCTAGTTTAGTCAAATGTTATTTATTTTTAACCAGGTAAATTTTATTCTTCCATATAATTATAGTACTTTTAATATGCACAGAGATTCTGGGTATAAATCTCACGGTTTTTTTATAAACTCACTTTTATTTTGAAATTCCGAGTTGGGGCTAGTTAAGCATAGTTGCTATACTTGTTCTGTCACTAAGACAATTACCATTAACTTCCAGAAATTAATTATTATTTTTAAGATTTAAGCTAAGTCTATGACTAATGATATAAAGAAATAATGATTTTAAACAAAAATACTGAATATAATGGTAAAATAATTCCTAGGTTAATTAATCGTTAATTATTCAATGCTAATTACTATAAGTTTTGTTTTCTCTGTCCATAAAGACTATAAATATAGAACTGGTTATTAAAAACTTATTTTATTTTATCACTAATCGACATTGAACCTATAATTTAATTATACTTTTTTAGTGCTCAACTTGCCCCACTTATGGGGTACATTGAGCATACTTGACTTTTTGCATTTAAACAGCTGTAGCTTTTAAATTTTACTTATTACCAAAAACTAGTATTAATACTTTTGTTAAGCGATAAACAACAAATCCATTAAGCCCTATAGCAATTTATTGAGACTTTTCATTGAGGAGCTACATCCGTTTAAGTAAAAATTTGCTCAACTAGCCCCGCCCTACCCTATTGTAATAATCCTTTTTATCTTATATATGAAATTCTTCTTCACGGATGTGTGATTTGATACTACTCCTAAACGGTTATTTGGATTTTGATACCTCTTTTTAGACTTTGTCAAAAGAAATTTTTAATATTTAATGAACGATAAAACTATAGTAATAATTGGCAAAAATTAAAAAAAATCACTCACCATTGTTTGACATTGAAAACATTTGGACAGTCATCTGCTAGAAATTTACTTTAAATTTGAATTTAACTGAAATTATAAGCCTAGATAATACAAAAAAATGTAATGTCTACATCATTATTGTCAAAAGGCAGCTAAGATGTGCCATAAATTAAAATAATATCAGATACAGTCAACCGTATGTTTTGCATATACATTATTTAAACTTATGCATGTTACTTTACTAAATTATTTAACTATACAAAATAATTTCAACATATATAAAAAATGATTTAGAATTTTGTTTCATGTGTCAAAAATTCATTCGTATGGCATTGGATAAGGAATATAAACTAGATTTTACATATTAATTTACCTAAGATTTGAACATAAACAATGATGTTTGTTAAATTATTAATAAGAAAATTATACTTAGAAATAATAATTGCCAAGAAGCAACTAGTATATCGTACAAGATTATGAAAATTATAGACTAAATTATTGAAGCAATTATGTTGTAAGTTTTCTGAATTTCTTATGCTAAGAAATTGCTTATGCTAAGACTATGAATGAATCACAAAGATAGGGCATCAAGTAGGATATTAAAAAGTATAGGATAAAAAAAAGTTGAAACGTTTGAATTGTAGATATGGGTACAGGACAACTTCTGTCGGGTTATCTAGTGTTTTATACAAATTTTGTGGGCAGGAAGTACATTTATTAACGGGTTTGCAACTGAAAAAGTTCAATAACGTAAACCCTTTCAGTTACAAAATAAAATAAATTGAAAAATTGACTAAAACGTATCTAGTTTCTAAATAGTCCATCCAAATATAAATCATTTTAAAGTAGTTAATATGAGGTAGTATTTTTAAAAATATATTTGTTTCTAGGAGTTTGGGAAGTACCAATGGTGATGTGGCAAGACTTAAATGGTGGAAGATGTTCCATGGGTGATGCATGCAGTAACCCACCCACAAGTGAAGGAGTCGTCAAAGTACTCAGGAAAAATTTTGAAAGACATTACACCACAAATAGGTAATAATTAACATTCTTATACAATGGTATTTATTACTATCCTAAATGTAATTGAATGTAATTAAATTAAACACCAATTGTGAAATATTTTGTAAAATTTGGAGAGATTTATTTAATTCTATTTAATTATATTTAGATGATTCTAAATAAATTCTATTGATACTATAAAAAATCAAATTTCCTGAATTTCTGTGAAAAGTCAAGACAATTTGTGCCAAGTCAATACTAATAGTTAGTTATAAGATAAAGGTGTCAGTTATAAGATAAAGGTGTCGTGCCCTCTAAAGAAATAATGCTATATTTTATAGTTTAATTAATTTTTTTGAGAAAAAATAGTGTTTATTTAACTGATAGTTGACATTAATTAAAATTGATTTTTTTATTAAAATACGTATACATATATATATATATATATATATATATATATATATATATATTAATTTTATTTTCAACAGCAATCAAAATACATAACAATTCTATGAGCTATTTGGCTTATGTCATTCAATCGCACACTTTCAAGCACACATATAGATTAATCTGATAAATATTATATTGATATTTAGAGAATCACTTCAATAAGTGATTCTACTATTCTGTTTACATAAAGTTATAATAGTTCTAAGGGTCCTCCATATTATCTTTGGGCAGATTCTTCTTCAGTCTTCTTGAAGTTGGTGCCTCAAGAAGCTGAGTGATTATAGAGTTTGTATGATGTTCTAGTTTATTAAAATGTTTGACACTGTTGATTTGTATAATTCTGTTTATAAATTCAATATGAAGGTCGTCATGTAAGGTTTTATTACTAACAAACCACGGAGCATCTCTAATCTGTCTCAATAGTTTCGATTGGGCACGTTGCATTAGCACTATGTTGGATTTGTTTGCGCAGCCCCACAATTCTATGCCATTAGTCCATATTGGTTTCATTACTAAGTTTATTGTCAATGCATAGAATTGACTTGCGCCTCAGAAGCCAATATAGTTCAGCGGTTCAAATTTATTTAGTATTTAATTTTTCTCGAATATGGTTCTTCTACGTCAGCCTGCGATCTAAACGCATGCCTAGGTATTTGACACTTTCAGTGCTTGTAATTGCTTGGTAATAAAAATGTACTCCCGGGCATGTTGTCTTGTTCAGTGTAAATACGTATATATACGTTTTTCAAAAATTTGCTTTTGCTACTTAATTGCTTACACGTACCATCTATAGCCCAAGTCGCAGGAACCTACTGATAAAAACTATATAGAATTAAATCAACTTTTCTCCATTTATTAGTTACGATTAGTTAAAGGAAACGAATGTACTTATAAAATTTTAAAGTGTCTGGAGATGGAATTCGTGAGACACATAACAGTCTTAATCGGTTACTTCAGATATTTCTAGAAAAAACTTTAGACTATTGTATTTATCCACTAATTATTCATGTTAATCATAAAAATCTTCTGCTACGTTGTCTTCAAAAATTAAAATTAAAACTGACATATTATAAACAAATTCTGCCAAACATATTTTTTCTATAAAAAGCTTCTAGCTTTTCAAAAGTGTTAGTAGAAACTTCACAAAAAACTCGGAGTGTATCCCAAATCTAAACCGTTTCTTAGCAACTAAATTGTTCAATTTAACAGTTCTAAATGAGATAATTTTTAATTAAGTGAAAAATATATTTGGCATATGACTTAGACTATGGTATGACTTGAGGAGTTAGAAGTACTTGGAATTTTTGAAAAATCATTTTTTATTTTTTTTTGCATTTTCATTAAGTGTAATATCTTGAAAATGTTCTCTGAAAATTTCAAGTTGATCCGCTGATTACTTTTTGAGTTATTGGACTCTTACCCGCGCGTTGACGCAATTGGAGAGCTCGATACTGATACTCAAGATTATTTTCTCTCACCTCCTGATGTTTTAAAAGCTATTAAACCGATTTACGACGATCTCAGCAATGATAATTTACTTTCAAGATGTGTAATTCAAGATTGAATCCATAATCAGAACAAATTAAAAGCTTTATCCAACTAGTGTAAAAAATATGCCTAAAACCCGTGAATACTAGTTCTACTATCGTACAAATTGCTAAATGCATATACATAATCATTATTATTAATTATGGATACCCTAGGACCTAATTGTGGGTTTAATTCCCATTGGTATGCTGAAAAATTGGATGCTGCACGTGTGAAAGTGGCAGATCAGCGCGCCAACGAGAACACTTTGGAGGCCAGAATGCTTCGTAGGCAACAGCAAATGGAAATTTTGAAAACTTGCACAATGACTGATAAACTATTATATGGCCCAGAAATAGATAACTCGGTTTAAGTAATTCAATAATTCGAATTTCTGTACGTAAATTTAATGTGAAATTTTAAACGCGTTTTTCTCAAAACTATGTTTTTTGAATCGGTGACCACTGTAAATCAAAAACCGCTTAGTAAATTTTAATGAAATTTCTACAGCTTTTACAATACATAAAAAATTGGGTCCTGATCGAATATTTTTATTTTTTCAAAAATTTCAATTGTTTAAGATTAACTGTTAATTTTTTACCCAAAAATCTAGATTTTTTTCTGATGCTGCCATTTTGTTAATTTTTGCAAAAAAAAGAAAACCTTCGATCAAGCCCAGGATTATCTATTTATAAAACTATTTTTTTTTATTTGATTGATTTTAGATGAATCTCTAAGGAGTTATGATGGTCACCGCCAGGACCGTTTTTTGAAACAGGGTCAACAAAAACAGCTATAACTTTGAGAATATTAAATTATTTTTTCTGAAATTTTTGTTACTTCAAGTCAAAACATTGTATAATAATACCGTATTAATATTTTTGTAAAAAAACATCATTTAATAACAAAAAAAAATATTGAAAATTCTCATTTTTCCGTGCCTCCAAGTCCCCTTAACCCCTTAAGCAACCTTATCCTATATATTATAATTTTTCAACTTAAATATTAAATATAATGTAATATTAAGCATCACGAACTATAAAACGAGACCAAAATTTTGATACTGATGAGTTAAATCAGTTTTATCGATAGCTGTTGTACCATTTGTAATAAACAATAAACAATTCGAGATACGTTTTGTTTTACCTACCCCATAAATTATTTATTTTATTTTTATATGAATATGAACATTTAATTAAACTAATTTCTTTCCAATTATTTTTATAAAGTTTTTTGACTAATTTGACTACTTCATCTATTTTATTCAGGGCACCATTCGGTTTATTCTATCACGCGGCGTGGTTCACTCAACCTCATCACAAAGAAGGATTTATCCAGTTCCTGGACGAACTGATACAGATGCCGGACGTTTACCTGGTGACAAATTGGCAGGCACTACAATGGATAAGAGACCCGACTCCACTATCCAGAATGCACGACTTTGAACCTTTCAAATGTGACTATAGCGTAAGTTCCAAATAGTCTCAATATTTATTTTGTGTAAACAATATGAATTAAATTGCTTCTTATTTGCAACAATGTATTTTCTGATAATTGTATTTTGATAAAATGAAAGAGTGCGCGTAAGGTACACGCGCAATTGAAGTAAAAAACTTTTTTGCTATTGTACGAGATGACAATTAGGTCAAAAATAAATTCTTCATTTAAGAATTTAAAATATTGTTTATTAGTAATATTATTTTCAAACAATTACTATCATACTCCGAATCTGATATGAATGGTTCGAGATTACTGTAGCGTGAGATATAAATTCAGTCGAATTGTTTAAATTTCTCATGAAAGGGATTGAGAATTATTCTTCGTTAAATTTATTTTATCATCTGAAAAATCAAAGTTCGAGATTCTTCCAAATGAAACTTTACATAGAAATCTACAGGAAAAAAAAGATTCATCAAATTAACCTTTCAGATACAAAAATTTTCATGCATTTTCAAACAAATGTTGTAATACTTCATTTGACTCTTGCAAGGGATCAATATTTATCACGTTGACATGAGATGGTTGTTATTCAATACAGACACATTTTGTAATTAACATGATGTAGTTGCTGTATCGGAATAAGTTACAGAAGTACTTTCATCCAAAAAATAACAGAATAGTATTTTCAATAATATACAACAAAAGATCTCTTTACACGCGACACGACGACAAGCCACAATCGACCTGTATAGAACGATAACATCGATAGCCAATGACGAATCACTAGTGCCGTAACGGATTTCCGTTGCATTTTCACTGATTTACTACCTAGTCGCGCCTAAAGAAGTTTTACTTCAAAAATAGTTTGTAAAGTAAGATGAATTTGGAACGCACTGAATACACATTATTACACAATTTCTAAAATGGCGTATAAAATTTTATCAAAAATTAAATAGACTTTTTTAACATTCAGAAGAAGAAGTTAATGTTTTTTCCAGAAAATCCGATTTGCAAATTGTTTGTTTTCTAGTTATTCTAAAGTATACGAGGACAAATCTGGAAAAAGTATGTGTGTGTATGTGTGCCGATTTTCGCTCAAAAACAGCTAAACCGATTTCAAAATTTGAAAAGTCATTCGATGTAACTCGATACTCGTTGATTTGTTTGTAACTCGACGTTTGCGCGGCGATCTGCCGTTTTTTTATAATCAGCAGAAAAGTGCAAGATTTTTCGTCCACTTTAGCCAATAATCCTGAATCGACTTTACAATTGTTTTGGAATCAAGCTAATTAATTAAAGTAAAGATCGACAAGCCGTTTTTTCGCAACTCATTGTTGAAATTTTTTGGCGGTTTTGATGAAACTTTTTATAACGATAACGATCATCGTCTTGAAAAACTTCATAAAATATTACGGACGTACACAAGTGCTATAATGACTTTTGTAGCCGTTTTCTTGAAAAAATCTTATTTTTTGGCAGAGACAGGTCCAGCTATTTCAGAGATAAGGTGTTAAAAAGTTAAATAACAGTAGTTTTTGAGAGAACAGAGGATCCGATTCCAATGATTCAAAAAATATTCTGCTTGTGAAGAAACGGTTAATGTAGTAAGGCAAAAACATTTTCAATTCTTTTTAAATTTCAATATCAAAAATAATTTGGACTTTAATTTCAATTCTAGCTTAAATTCTGAAACTTTTTCATGTACTTCACATACTTAATTTTAACTTTACAATACAGTTTATATAATTCTTCAAAATATGAGATAAAGTCCTTCATTCTAACCCCGCTTCATTAAGTTTTCATGTAAACAGGTATAAATGTTGCCCAATTTATAAGCTTTTATATATCATCTGTAAAATACGAATAATGAATGTAAATAAACTTATAAGTAAATAAGAAAATTTAAATTTATGATAATTTATTGGAAAACATTTAATATTCTTCGAATATTTCATTACGGTACGAGAAGTTCCAGCAGTTTGCCTTAAGGCGCGATGCCATGCACCATTAGTTTTTCTTTGATCTTTTTAACTTCCCGTAGAGTAAGTTATAGTAATCGCAAAAAAATCCAAAATGAATTTTTTTGCATATATTCACGTTTTGAAGGTTTCTGAACAATACCTCCGAAAAAATCTATGTAAGTGTGTGTGCGTGTGTGTGTGTGAATGAGTGAATATGTTTGGATAAAATTTTCGTCCACGTTTTCGGGCGCACGAATCAACCGATTTGAATGATTCAAAAAACATTCGATTTCTATTGATGAGAAGACGTGCTGGTTAGTTTTTGGTAAAGACAGGTCCAGTTGTTTCAAATATATGGGGAAAAAAGTGCCAAAAATGGTAAATCAGTTTTTGAGAGAACGGAGTACCCGATTTGAATTATTCAAAAAACATTTTACTTGTACTGACGGAATGAAGATCTGATGAAATATTTGGTAATGCAGGGTTAGCTGTTTTGAAGATACAGATAAAAAAGTAAAAAAAAGGCCAAATATGATCACAAGACATATGCACATCAAATTATCAGATATTTGATATAGTTTTCAAAAATTATCAGATATTTGATAGAGTTTTTAAAAATAAGTACTAATTTTATTACAATTTTGTTAGGTTCTGTACTAAGGTTGTTAATTTTTTAAGTTTACTTGTACGGTTCAAGCTAATTCAAAAATTTTCAGAAAAAAAATTTTCAAAACTTTCAAAAATATACAAAGTTTTATAATACTTCAAATGTGAATTCTAAAGGGTATGAGCGCTTTGCCATACAGAATCGGCCCCACCCTGGTATTTAAATAATTTATACGTCATTTCATAGGTCTATTTCATAAAAACCGATATACTAATTTTCAACTTCGTATCTCACCTTATGGCCGAGATATCATTGAAAATATGTGAAAGTGGCCCCTTTTTTCAAACTCACTTTTTGGCGTAACCATAAAAGATATCAAAAAAACATTTACGTGGTTCTATTCATATTGGCTTATTCCACATTATGTAGAATAATCGATGCCAAATAATCATTTATTGTTAGCTGAAAAAGATAAAATAAATTTTCAATTGATGTTTTCCGGTAGTGCGTTTAGTTAGACCACCTTCTAATTAGCGCTATTCGAAAGCCCATTGTTTTTTATTTTAGTACTGAAAATATTGTTTAAATCAATTTGGTGGAACACATTGGAAAATTGAAAAAACCGGAGCCAGTACACCCGCGCGTAACGCTAATAGTCCTGCAAATGCATGCAGTTCGTTCGGACGCGAAGCAGTGCGCGATGCGCCCGAAACCATTCTTAAATGCGAAAATATTTATTATATAGTTATATATGTATAAACACATAGCTTTTGCAATTTTTAGGCATTATTTGTTCTACTATGTTAATTAAAACACTGACTCTAGTGGTGTATGGCATCATGTCTTAAGGGTCCGTAATAAAGTAATCGAAAAATATCAAATGTTTTCAAATATATTATTATAAATGCTGTACAACAACAAACATTCATTATTCAAATTTATGAACAAAGCATAAGAGCTTATAAATTGGACTATGGCGTTTGTATATGTTTGCCTGAAAAGTAAATGAACAAAACCCAATGAAGCGGAGTTAGAATGAAGAATATTATGTAATATTTCTAACAATTCAGTTTCAAAATGTACTTATTTCAAATGCGTTATTCTAATCGTAAGAAACATTTCTTGCTAATGTAAACTTTTTCAAGTGTTTTGAGCGATAAGATTGTCACTCTATATTTTATGAATGATAAAATATATAGTGTTTAAAATTATCTATTTGAAAATGTTTAAAACAATCGTTATTTGCTATTGATCAACATTTATTAATTACTGTTTTTTACACGAATATGTAATTCTTGTACGAGAAGTTCTAGCAATTTGCCTTAAGGCACGATACCATGCACCACTTGTTAAACTTAAATTAAATTAATTTTAATTTTCCAGAATCGTCCAAAACGGTGTAACAACCCAAAGGTTTGCAACCTCTGGCATAAATCTGGAGTGAGATATATGCGAACGTGCCAACCTTGCCCCGATATCTACCCATGGACTGGCAAAACAGGCATTCGATCATCAAGAATAGACAACGATATCGAAGATTAACTACAGAAAACCTGAAACGAAATTAACTAATTCCAATTAACATTTGAAGGTTGCACAAATTTCGTGTAAAGAAAATACATTCCAAAATTATGGGGCTGCAGAACTGAAATGATAATTGAATTCAAGAATAATGAAAGTATTTTTTTATACTAAATCTTGAATTGGTAATTCATCATTAAAATAAATATGTTAAACTTTGAAAATGTGGCTTTTATTATTAAAATTGAGAATTAGACATCTAGAAATATATTATTATGCCAGAATTTGCCAACATTAGGGAGTGCGGATGGATTGCCTTTTAAATTACACCAATGCAAATTTTCTATTTTTATTTGAAAATTGGTTTTAAATAATATATTAGATAATGATTTTATAAAAATGTACTGTAGAGAATATGTAAATGATCGTATTTGGAAACCAAATTGGCACTACGAATATAGTTTGTAAGTAATATATTTTTAAAATATGTAAATCAAGCAAAATATACAGATTAAAAATTAATACTGTTACGCAGATAATTTGCGTGAAGCAAAAACATCTTTTTTTAATTATATGAGTATATATATATATATATATATATATATATATATAGTATATTAATATTTCTTTGTTAAATGTGAAGATAATTTTAACTTTATGTAGATTTCAATTATAAAAGAACATTCTACTCAGATATTCAAGATAACTATGTAAATTACAACTTTTTGAGATAATTGTGTAATATTTGATGTATGATATTTTATTGAGAGCTATGTAAAGAGGAAATATTTTTATATTCAAAGAAACTTAGGATTTAGCTCTTACATTTAGAAGTACAATTACGGCTTGGTTGTTGGTTGTGACTTAAATAATACTAAATTTAAATAATATTTAATTAAAACAAACGGTTTTCATTGCATATTAAAATACTGCATTGTTAAACAAAACCAAAAATATGATATTATATAAATTTGATAAAAAAGTTACATATAAACCAAATTTATTAATTACATATTCTCTAGTGCTTTAAGATAATAAAACTAAATATGAAGTAAAAAATGATATTTTCAAAATCTGCTTTTAATTGAAATATACTGATTAATATTTAAAAGCATAGTTAATGTATAATAAGTATTTTTGACTCATAGGAAAAATTACAATACCTTGGGTATCAGGGTAAATTTATGTATATATTTGTTTAGAAATTTAAAGTTAAAAATTAATATGAAAAGGTATCATATTATGTAATATATCTATTTATAATATTTGTGCTATAATTTGAAATAGCATAAATCTTAAAGTATTTTAGGATTAATTTCTATTTATGGATTAAGTAGGATATTTATTTTCATCAAAATAGATTTTTCAATATAGGGTATTTTGAAAACTTTTAATAATTAATAATTGGGTTTAAATATGCATTACTGAATAATGTATTTATTTCAAAAAATAGGTTTAAAATAATTTAAGTTAAATTCTAAGAAAAAGAGTTTTATAATTATCAGTCTGAAATATTTAAATAATGACCTGCTAAAGCAAGGTGCTAGAAAATGTGTCTTAAATAAATTATTTTCATTTCCTGATTAGCAATGATATGTATTTTTGATATTAATATATAGTCCAATCTGCAAATAGGTAGTTTACTTATTTATTGAAAATTAATTTTGTTATTTTCAAATGGTTTCTGTTATACAGAAAAACGAAGTCGAGTAGTAGAAAATGTATCTTGATCAAAATGCCATTTTTTAACTTCCCGTAGGGTAAGTTATTGTAATCGTCCAAAAATCGAAATCGAAAATTTTTACATTTCTGGACGTTTTGAAGGTTTCTGAACATTTTGGTATACTTCAGAAAAAATGGATGTGTGTGTGTGTGTATATATGTATGGATACAATTTTTCGTCCACGTTTTCGAGCGCACGGATCAACCGATTTGAATGGTTCAAAAAACATTCGATTCCTATCGATAGGGAGATGTGCTGATTAGTTTTTGGCAAAAGCAGGTCCAGCAGTTACGGAGATAAAGAGCAAAGGGTGCAGAAAATAAAAATTAAGTTTTTTAGAGAGAACGGAGCATCCAATTTCAATTATCCAAAAAACATTCAATTTGTAGTGACGGGGAGAAGTGGTGATTAGTTTATGGCAAAGGCAGGTTCAGCGGTTTCGGAGATACAGAGCTAAATGTGCAAAAAATGGTAGTTCTTGAGGAAACTAAGCGTCCAATTTGAATGATTCAAAGAACTTTCTGATTGTTTTAACAAAATAATTAATTTTGAAAAAAAAATTGTTCCAATTTTTTTTTTCAAAAAATTTTTTTGCCAAAAATTTTATTTTTTTATTTTATTTTTTGTATATCGATTTTTATTTTAATTCTGTTCTAATATACCTTAAACAAGTAATTTCAACTTTCCAATTCAGTTTATGTAATTCTTATAAATATTAGACAATGTTACAATATTTGTAATAATCTATTTTAAAACATTTAATATTCCTCGATCATCTCGTTACGGTACGGGAAGTTCCAGCAATTTGCCTCAAGGCACGATGCCTTAATTGCCTCAAGACAAAATTCCACTTACAGCTAGTTAAATATTGGAAACGATCATAATGAAGCTCGTATTTTTGGAAGCTTTATTAATTAAAGTATGGTCGCTCATACCCGTTATTACTATTATTATTATTATTCTAAACTATAGTTTAAAAAATTTGATATATCAAATTAAAAGTTTACATAAGTCAAATTTATTGACAATAATGATAGGACAATGCTCTAAAACAAAACTAATAGCTTACGTAAGCTGAAATAAATTCATTTGGGGAATGTTTTGATACAACCGTTTTTTTCGATATTTCACAACAGTTTTCAAAAAGCGTATTTTAAGTTCATACATATATGGCTGATATTGAGAGTAAAAATAGTTATCGCAGATGCATGTGCCAGATTTTCCATGCTGCTCAAGCCTTTTAAATGTGCTGGATAGTCTAAGACTTTTAGATGTGCTGGATAGTCTTTTAAATGTGCTGGATAGTCTAATCTTAATGATTTAAAAAACTGACAATGAATTTATTCAGATAGTGAAACAAAAATTGTACATGATTTAATAATTCAACCTTACACTATGGGTATAATTTGGATATAATTCAATCTTACAATTTGCTCATCCTAATATTAACTAGTTGGTATTGGTATTTTGCCTTGAGGCAAGTTACATGAACTTCCCGATATGTGTAAATAATCGATTTAATCAATAAAATATAAATTAATTTATGAGTAATTAAAAGTATTCCGAGTGGATTTATTACACATAATTGAAAACGAACGAACACGTTAACTCGAGTATTTTCTAAAAGCAAATTTTCAAAATCAATAATTTTTATAATTGAACCAATTTCAGTAGGACTTTAATGATTTAGTGTGTTCATTAAGACAGAGAACTATATCGTTATGTCAAGTAAATCGTCTAATTTTAATTTTAACAAACATCAAAAAACTACTCATTTTCTCAAATTTTGATTAATTTTAAAAATTAAACAACAATCCGTAAGGACGTAGTATTTCAGTATGTTCTATAAGATCATGATATATATCGCCAAAAAAAGTTTCATAAAAATCGGCTAAATTTTTTTTTCAACAGTTAATTACAAGAAAACGGCTCGGTAGATTTTCACCTAAAACTAATAAGTATTATTCCCAACTAATAGCTTTCGAACAGTTTTTGATTTTTTAAAATCGATTCGGTAAAATGAGCTTAAATGTGGACGAAAAGTTTAACACTTTTTTTTTCAAAGTACAAATAAATGGATCGACTCACAAAACTGACAAACTATAGTGCTCATTGAGATACATCGAATGGCTTTTAAATTTCTGAAATCGGTTTAGGCATTTTTGAGCAATCGTCGACGAAAGGTTTAATTTAGACAAATGCCAAAAAACTATACCAATTTTTGCAAACTTTGACAAATTTTTAGAGCTATATGAGTTGTCGTAGGGTGGTAATATTTTAGTATGATCTGGAAGACTATGGCATCTACCGTCAAAAAAAAATCATATAAATCGTCGATTTTTTTTTTAAAACTTTATTACAAGAAAACGGCCCGGCCGATCTTTACCAAAAACTAATCAGCACGATTCCCAACCAATATCTATCAAAGCGTGGACGAAAATTTTTTCACTTTTCCGCGATTTACAACGAAACGGCCCGGCCGATGTTCGCTCAGAACTCAAAAACTCTACATCGAATGGCTTTTAAATTTTTAAAATCAGTTCAGCCGTTTTTGAGAAAACGTTGATTTACGGCAAAAAATCTGTTCACACACACGCACACACACACACACACACATAGTCATACTTGCAGTCTGGGATACACACATACTTTTTCCAAATTTGGTCTCATTCGATTCAGAATGGCTTGAAACGTCGATTTTTTGACGAAAACATAAACTTCTTCTTCGGGAAGTTAAAAATAGAAAACAAATCATTCATGGTTTGAGGATTTAGTAATGCACTAAACTGTGTAATGAAAAACATTAATTAAGAACATCGTTGTCAAAATTATATAAAATATTTTGAATTTAATATAAATATTCTCTAATCATAAAATTCTTGACTATTGTTGTAAACATCGCATCAATAAGTGAAATATGCATATAATCATGAATTCAGAAAATACGGTTTCATGCTGTAGTATTGTAGTTGCCTTAGACAAGATGGTGACATATATTTCGTGCAAAACTAAATTTAAGTATTCATGCGTGAATTTGAGCTTTGATGTTCGACCAATATCATCAAAAAAAAAAATAATGTGGAATTGCAATGCATGTGCTAATCTCGGTAATGACCTTAATGATATCAAAAGTATGTTAATGCAGCTACAACGAGAAATAGCTGCACTAAAAGATCATAGTTCTTGCAACAATAATATTCTTGATAATGATCAATTTGAATCTTTAGTTCAAGAGACTTCTGAACGCAATAAGCTTTCATATAATATCATAATATATATCGCCAAAGAGCCTCTTAATGACGTAAACAGTTATGATAAAAGTGTTGATACAAATATGGTTAACAATATATTTGAAGCTTCTGAAATGATATGGGTTGTTTTTGTA